AGCACATTTTTACTCCTGAACGTATTTAGGCGTGCCATTGCAAAGGGGTTGAATACTTATTGACTCAAGACATTTCAGATTTTAATTTTGTATTAATTTCTAAAATGTTCTACAAACAAAATTCCACTTTGACATTATGGGGTCAGTGACACAAAATCTCAATTTTAAATGTAGGCTTTGCACAACAAAATTTGGAAAAAGTAAAGGAGTGTCAATACTTGAAGACACTGTATATACATTTTACCACCATTTTCTATCCATAAAATTTAGAATAAGTAAAGGCTTTGATTTCTGATCAAACAGATGGAATAGGGGTCTTAGAAAACATCTACCAGAAAAAGTCTTAAAAGGTATTAGAAATACATCAAAACACAATAATGTTGAAGTAAAGACCCCTGCCAACTAATATCAACACTTATATTTAGTTTAGGAGAAAATGTTCTGCCTTCTGTAAGTTTAAGAAACATTGCCTTGTGCCTTGAAATTCCGTTACCAAAAACACACTTATCTTTAAGATATTTTCTCTCCCTCATGAGGAGGGAGGATAATGAAAGTTCACAGAAGTAACAATTAAAGGTAGACCTATCAATTAGTTATAATGTTTTACTGATATCAATTTTGTTTATTAATTATTAAGTGATTCAAACTCAAAATCTTTATAGTATTTTCGAAAAGTCGTTAATGGAATTGCTGCAATTGAACTGGCTAGAATGGGAAATCATTGTAGTCACAAACCACAGTTGGGTTCACAAATTTGGACAGCACAGTACAGCACAACACAGTAAAGAATAGTAAATAAAACTAGAGTTCAGTACAGCACAGTAGAGTTCAGCACAGTACACAGTAGAGCACACTAGAGTTGAGTACACTATAATGTACTGTATCACACTGTACTGTACTCTACTGTACTGTACTCTACTATTCTGTGCTTTGCTGTGCTGTGCTCTACTTTACTCTACTGAGCTCTAATGTGCAGTACTTTGATGTCCAAACTTGTGAAACATAGACATCTATGATTGGTTCAGATTTGGTCCGGTCCGGACCACCCAAATATGGTCTTGTTTGGGGGCAGAGCTCATTAAATTAATAGCCAGTGTGTAGAATAATACCCAAATATGCAAAGGAGGAAATTGCATATTTATACCTTTGTGTGCCTATTTAGGATACATCACTATGAAGAGATGACATTCATATCCATAATTATGCATTTCTATGTAGTACAGATGAGGGACCCATGATGAAATTTTGTTACCGCAATTCCGTTACCGGGTGTAAATCCACTTCACTTACTGTAGTTCAATAACCAAAATAGATTTCATAGCTGACACACCATTCTTTCTGCAGACATCTTTGAATCATAATTTGGAGCAGATATTTAACAGAGTTTTTGGAAAACATAAAGGGAGATTTTACAGAAATTCTGTTAACAAACTTTCTTCCAGTAAATGTGTTTTTGTAAAATGTTCTGTGTAAATTGTTCAAAGTAGTTATTGTGCATAGAGTTGTATGGTTTGTAAAACTTTGAAATCAATGTTTTTTGTTTGGCTCACTCAGTCTTAGTGTTCCTATGGATGTAGCAGTGGTAGGCTAATTGATAAAGCTCACTCAGTCTTAGTGTTCCTATGGATGTAACAGTGGTAGGCTATTTGATAATGCTCACTCAGTCTTAGCCTACCACTGCTACATCCATAGGAACACTAAGACTGAGTGAGCATTATCAAACAGCCTACCACTGCTACATCCATAGGAAACACTAAGACTGAGTGAGCATTATCAAACAGCCTACCACTGATACATCCATAGGAACACTAAGACTGAGTGAGCATTATCAAACAGCCTACCACTGCTACATCCATAGGAACACTAAGACTGAGTGAGCATTATCAAACAGCCTACCACTGCTACATCCATAGGAACACTAAGACTGAGTGAGCATTATCAAACAGCCTACCACTGCTACAATCCATAGGAACAACTAAGACTGAGTGAGCATTATCAAACAGCCTACCACTGCTAACATCCATAGGAACACTAAGACTGAGTGAGCATTATCAAACAGCCTACCACTGCTACATCCATAGGAACACTAAGACTGAGTGAGCATTATCAAACAGCCTACCACTGCTACATCCATAGGAACACTAAGACTGAGTGAGCATTATCAAACAGCCTACCACTGCTACATCCATAGGAACACTAAGACTGAGTGAGCATTATCAAACAGCCTACCACTGATACATCCATAGGAACACTAAGACTGAGTGAGCATTATCAAACAGCCTACCACTGCTACATCCATAGGAACACTAAGACTGAGTGAGCATTATCAAACAGCCTACCACTGATACATCCATAGGAACACTAAGACTGAGTGAGCATTATCAAACAGCCTACCACTGATACATCCATAGGAACACTAAGACTGAGTGAGCATTATCAAACAGCCTACCACTGCTACATCCATAGGAACACTAAGACTGAGTGAGCATTATCAAACAGCCTACCACTGATACATCCATAGGAACACTAAGACTGAGTGAGCATTATCAAACAGCCTTCCACTGCTTAGATTTACAACAGCAAAACTTTTCTGCAGTGGAAAATGAAAGGAAGGAAGGTCATGTTATATTTATTTGTTAAATTTGATTATTTATCAATTTAAATAACGGTGCTACATTCAAAATAACTATTATGTTCAATCAGCCCACTTGGAGCCATAACACCGGGTGCATCCTGCCCTTTTCTGTTACACATGTACAAAACCTTGTGATCTCACGGACTGGCCTGCCTTCAGTCCGTGGTTTACATTGCCACGGTTATCCCGACAATAACACACAATGTTCCGCTATGTTTAAATACCAATGAAGTCAGGGATAAGACGCTAGACTGGTCACATAATTACATCATGGGTTTTTTTGGACACCAGGCCTATTTTTTGTTGACTAGCTTGAGAGCTGGAATAAATTTTCTTTGCGGTCTCCAGCTAGTTCCTCACTCTTCTTTGGCACTTGCGTGTGCTGAACTAAGTGTGCATGTACATTTGTGTATGTGTTTGTATGAGATAAATATGAAAATGTGTTAAAGTTGCACATTACAATAAAACATACAGTATATTTGGTCAAGTCACACAAATTCAGCAGCATTCACAATTTCTGTTATTTGATGTCTCTGGGCATGCTCTCATATCATTGCTTGAGTCCAGTGCTTCAAAGTAAAGGTAAAACAATATTACACCAGGTCTAAAAGGACACAGCAGGATGTTGGGGACGGGATCCAACTAACAGAGCTCCAAATACCTGCACGTGAGAATTCATTTTCCCAGAAGAGAGTAAGTGGGGCGGAACCTGAATGAAGTGTACACTGGAAAACCTGCAACCTGACTCATTTGAATAGCATGCATAACTTAGGGAGGACCGGAAAGTCTCTTCAAGTGTTTGCTCAAATGAACATTGTCCTAACAAAACTTCAATGCATAATGCAGAAACATCCATTTATAATTCCTTACAGGTTGACAGAGAGAAATAAAATAAAAGGAGAGCTGTGAAAGAATGTTTCATCAAGTAAGGTAAGCTTCTGCAGTACAATAGTAAGGCAGGTGTAAACAGTTGTTATCCACCAAGAAGAAATAACATAGGTTACTTCATATATGCCCATCATGTTTAAAAAAAAAAAAAAAAAAATCCAATAATTATTTCCTACCTATATAATTTATCAAAACGTTAATCAATCACCTGATGACAATTATGTACAATTATTAAAATTATATTGAGATAAATTAGAGAAGACAGCTACCAAACGTTTTCTTACTTATTATGACTATAATATATTAAGTAGACAAGACAATTGAAATGTTCACAATCAACAAAAGCAAAAATATATTATTTGGTCCCTACTTTGGCCCTCCGAATGTTCAGCTCAAAATCTGGTCACTGGCGCCATCTAGTGTGTGTATCTTCCCTACCACATTTTATCCCATTTACAGAACGTCATTTTACATCAACGTCCACATGCCCTGCAATGTTAATGATACGGATGATCACAATAAACATTCCATATGGATTCCATGTAAAATGTTACAGTTAAATGACAAGTAAGACAGTAATCCTGCTTTCATTTAGCCTTTCTAGGAGCTTTTATCACCAGTTTGTGACAAATGTCCTATACTTGCTGAGCAATGCAACATTGCCTTTGATACATCTGCCATTTGTCCCAGCTCTGTTTTGATATCCCAACAAAAACATTGACAATAAATGCACACTTTATAATTTTATTAACTTAATAGGTTTTAGCAATCATTGCCATGCCAGTCCATGCATGCTCAGTCTGAGCAAGTGAAGCAATGTTCTACGTTTATCTTCTACATTCAAACTGAAAGTTATTCTGTAATACTCAACTTTGGCCACTAGATGGAAGCACTTCCCCATCAATATTTCGGACTTTAGCGTTACTCTGTTCTATTTAGTAATCACAAGCACATCAAGCAAAAGTTGGAGCAGCTTCTGCTTTTTTCTATCAAATTAAAAGCTTAATTGTATGATATGGCTGCGTCATTAGTGTAACATCATGATATTGCAAATAACTAAAAACCGTTTTAATAATATGACAATAATTGTGCAGCTTCTGCTTTTTTCTATCAAATTAAAAGCTTAATTGTATGATATAGCTGCGTCATTAGTGTAACATAATGATATTGCAAATAACTACAATCGTTTTAATAATATGACAATAATTGTGGAGCTATGGTTCAGAAAGTAGACTTGTTGGACAGACAAATTATTCAGTAGGACTGACAGACGTGGCCTACAGTTCCCTCCTTTAATAATAACTACAGCCTTGTGATGATATATTTTACATGTGTACCTTTTTAAACTGTCAAACGAGGGCTCTTATTGTGAAGCTTTTATAAATGTTCTGGACACCGAACATTTATGGGCAGCGGTCCTGTTACTTCTGCATGCGCAACGGATTGTGCACGGGACCCTTATTATGTAAGTCTATGGGTGGACCTTCATGTGGAGTGGGGGACGTTTAAATTGTCAATATTCACCCGGAATGTCTGAAGGGACAGTTATGGCACAAGCCCTGTACTTTACCTTTGTTTTGTCGTGTTTGATATGTGGATCATATGGTCTCTTTTCATCTGGCAATGGCACAACTACAGTGAGCTCTACAACTAAACCAAATACAACCCGGAGCAATAATAGCGCCAACGCACGAGCGGTAAGGTTGACATCTACAACTACTGCAAAGGTACGGACAACTACTACTAGACCACCGAAAACGACCACCACCGCTAACTATAGTTTCAACACAGAAGACTTAAATGAGGGTATCGACAAGAAAGTGGAAAAAATAGTATGGAACAAAGAACCTGAGGATGAACCATTAGAATTAGGTGAGCAGCATTGAAATGTATTTGCTGATGTAAAATGCAGGTCAACTGCTAAGATAAATGTTAAAACAATATTATGCATTATTATTAAAGTTGTAATGTGTTATTATAGACCAATGCTATACATTGTTGTAGATTATATATATTTATAGACATTTTTTAATTATCTCGTGTCTTTCAAGTGTACTTTTTTTGCAGATATCTGACATCTCACTTCTGCATCAAGTAAATGTGTAATATGTTTGGAAAAAGACACAGCCAGGGCCAGATTACAGAACGGGCACGCAGGGCACGTGCCCCAGGGCCCCGACCTTCATGGGGGTCATAAGCAACTGCAAAGTGTGTAGCATTGCTGGAAGTTTGCTTTAAAACTGCACAATTTTCTCTCATCCTCATGGCAAAATGTGAAGAATAGCATGAGATGAGCTGTAAAACAACAAATTTTTCTCTCTGTCCCCATAGCAAAAAAGTGTAAAATTGCAGGAAATTAGCTTTAAAACTACAAAATTATCTCTCAGCCTCATGGCAAAATGTGTATAATAGCATTATAAAACTGCACGTTTCTCTCTGCCCCATGCCAAAATGTGTTGAAATGTGGGAAGTTAGCTGTTTTCCCCCCCAAAAAAAGGTTTCCCCCAGGGCCCCAAATGCGGTAGTTCGGCCTTGGGCACAGCCTACTGGTTAATCGCTACGGGATCGGTGTCCCGTATACGGGACGGTTGAGCTAACGTGCACTAATGTGATTAGCATGACTGTTGTAAGTAACAGCAAACTTTGCAGGACATAGACATGTCTTATATGGGCAGAAAGCTTAAATTATTGTTAATCTAACTGCACTGTCCAATTTACAGTAGCTATTACAGTGAAAAAATACCATGCTATTGTTTGAGGAGAGTGCACAACAACAAAAAACGTATCACCTCTGAAGGTAAATAATGTACTTACATTCAGTAATCTTGCTCTGATTTGTCATCCTGAGGGTCCCAGAGATAAAATGTAGCATAGTTTTGTTTGATAAAATCAATTTTTATGTTCAAATGTAGGAACTGGGTTCTACAGTTTGAACCCTTGCTGTCTCTGGCTCCACACCCACCCCGCCCGGCCATCTAGATGTGTGAAAGTTAGTGTATAAGCTAATGATCCATCATGTATGACATTCCTGGGCGTGTGTAAACATACATTTTGTATTACCATATCATTTGTGTATGTTCTCTATAGTTATGTACTTGAAAATGTATCAATTGACCAATTCGGCACATTTGGGCAGACTTGATACAGAATAGTCCAGTATTGCAATGCTTCACTGGATCAATCTGAAACTTTGCACACACAGTGCTGCCATCTAGCGGCCAAAATCTAAATTGCGCCTAAACTGCAATATTATATTGTGGCCTTTCTCTTGCATTTCAAAGATGATAAAACCATTTTTTGTTTATAACGCAGATCTAATGTGTTATATTCTCCTACATTCATTTCACATTTCCACAAACTTCAAAGTGTTTCCTTTCAAATGGTATCAAGAATATGCATATCCTTGCTTCAGGTCCTGAGCTACAGGCAGGTAGATTTGGGTATGTCATTTTAGGCAAAACATTTTTTTTTTAAAGGGTCCGATCCTTAAGAGGTTAAAAAGCATCTCAATTTGTATCTTTCATTTCTTACATTGAAATCATTTAGACCATGTCCATCAACAAACAACTCTGAAAACACACATTGAAAACGAATGTGATAAATAACAACTGTGGAGCGCAAGGCAGGGAAAACACGAGTAACAGGGGGTTGTTATGTCAATGCTGAATTGCTGTGGTCTTAGAAACCAAGTCCAGGGGGTTGGTTCTACATTCCCACCTCTGTATGGTGAAGTATTTAGCTTGGGGGTTATCAGGTTGTGATGGGAACCAGCTGTCTTGTAGACACAGACCATCAGAAAACCCTGGGTTAACTGGCTGAGTCAGCTATCTACATTCAGTACCAGAACACCATAGTTCTGCATAGCCTGAGAATGTGTTGTGTAGTCCTTAAGACGGACATCATACTTTCACATTTCACAATGTTCGTCTTTGTTCATGAGATGGTTTGCCTTTTGTAGCCAAGTGGTCCACCAGGAGTGTAAAGGTAGTAAAGAAGCCTAAAAAGACATGGAAGGAGGTCAAGACACCCAAAGTCCTGCCTAAGAAGCGCAAGCCCGAGGTTGTTAAAAAAAGCAAACCCAAAATCATTGGGCGCCCTTCGCTGCCAGTGAAGCCAGTGGGACGTATGTATGGGGAACCTCCCTGAGTGACATATATAGTATGAGAATGGGTGAATGCCCAATAGACAACATACTGTATAGCGCTCTTTTTCCTTACTGTGTACAACGCATGGTACATTTTCATTTCAACTTTGAAATGCATAAATGATAGACAACTGACATTGACAGCATTGCTTGTTGACACAGAGTAGCTACAGTACTAGCAGTAGCAAAACAAAACATTCCCTTGCTTAAATAGTTGTTGTGCTTTTGCAATTGTCCTCCAGCAACTGACCTAGTCTTCTGTAGTATTTCCTGCCCATCCTCTCTCTCTCTCTCTCTCTCTCTCTGCTCAGTGCTCCATGGAAGCCCCTCCCTATGGGGGAGGGGGGCTGGTGCCCCTGATCTGGTCAGAAATGTGTCGGAAAGAGAACTGGAATTACAGGGGCCAGATGGAGAAGTATAGCCTGAATAAGGAGCTGAGCCGAGTAGGAAGTGTGTGTGTTTGGGGCAGATGGACCATAAGGCCCCAAAGCAGGGGCAAGATATGAGTTTCCCCAGTTTTTCCTCAGAAAAAGGGAGTCTAATCTTTTAAATATTCATGTTGTAGGTTGGCTGATCTGCCAAACTGTTTTTCATCATGACTAATGCACTGGTGAAATGATGATGAGTAACCCCAAAGGCCACTGCATAGTTTGTTGTAATATCTCAACTGCTTTCTGAAATTTGACATTGTCTCTCTTCAAATGATGCCACTGAAGAAACTATACAAATTGTTGAGGTTGGACCTGACTTAATGCATAAAGCTTATACAATGTTTCCTATGCTCTAAATATGAGAGCTCTAAGAAATCATTGAGTCCTCACGTTTGCCAATTCTCCTAACACAAATAGTATAGGAGTAAGAACCCAATTTTCATAAAGATTACTAAAGCATTGTTGACATGAGGTTAATGTCTTTGGCATCACTTCACTAGTTCAGTAGATCAGTTGGCTACTTTACTTGGCAGACCACTGTCAACAAAGTTTTAATCGTTTTAAACCATTGGCTCTTGGGAGCAGAGCAGTGCTCTCTGTCACAATGAACCAAGTGGTGAGATCCTGCAGGCCTCTAAGGCAAAAGGGTATTCGGGTTTTAAGAGAGACCACTCACAGCCCTAGCACAGGAACTAGTGTTTAGAGGGCCAGTCGACCAGGCTCAGCTCCTCAGACAATGAGCGCCTGTCTGCTCCTCACATGGAAGCGCAGGAAGTCTCTCTTTCCCTCACTCTTCCGCTCTCTTTCTTGCAAACCCTTCTGCAATCTCTCTCTTCATCGCTTTCCCTCTCGCTCTCTTTCATGCTCAAATACCTTTGAGAATTGCGCATGTATGCACCCACTGGACACTCACTGGTTGAATCAACGTTGTTTCCACGTCATTTCAATGAAATTATGTTGAACCAACTTGGAATAGACGTTGAATTGACATCTGTGCCCAGCGGGCAGTCTCTCAATCTCCCTTCGACTACCGCTCCTGTGAAGGCTTTAAATTCAACATGTCATGTTCATGGACAGCTTTCTAACACGTTAGTTCCATTCCTTCTCAATATTTGACCTGTGTGTATGTGTGACCTTGTTCTCCTCCATGTCTGTCAGAGTGCCCTCCTCTGGGGCTGGAGTCTCTGAGGTGAAGGACACACAGCTGCGGGCCTCGTCCTACAAGCGCCGGGGACTTGGAGCTCACCGTGGTCGACTCAACATCCAGGTGAGACCAAGAACTAGTCTACAGGTCTCTCACCACTGTTAGCAAACACAGCACAATCAGCACTGGCAAATGTTGCTGCCATTCTTACCATTGTATCCATGCATTATTCTGTGGTAACCAACTCTACATCTTGTGTTTAGATTTGTAAAATGCACTTTGTAAATACAATCTGTCTGCCTGGGTAGTCGGGTATTGAGGACGGGGACATCTACGATGGGGCGTGGTGTGCCCAGTATGAGGATAAGAAACAGTGGCTGGAGGTGGACGCCCGGCGACCCACACGCTTCACCGGGGTCATCCTCCAGGGACGCAGCTCAATCTGGAGGTCAGTGGAGGTCACGGCACATATTCACCAAGCCCCCATTGTGCAGTGATGTAGCCATAGCAATGAATTTTATATATTGTAAATGTTGTATGGACATTGCTAAATAGTTGCCCCTGTCTTTCCTAACAGTTGGGACTTCATACTCACCTACAAGGTGCAGTTCAGTAATGATACCCTGGTCTGGCAGCCAGCTATGAATGGGACTAAAGAGGCAGTGAGTTGATTCAATACAATACATTAAAATATGATATGTAGTAACCATAATCTATTGCCTTCTTCCCATTACGTTCACTGCAAAATTCAGATATTCAATTTTGTATCTTGAATAGCTTACTATTTTATTCCTCATTACCCAATTGTCAAGTTGTGTATCATTATGTGGTCTAGTGAGGTATTAGTATCTACCATGCTCTGACATCATTGACCAATGACATTCCACTGCCTGTTGGCAAGCTGACCATGGGGCTGAAAGTTTGCCCTGGCCAAAGCTGACTCCACTGTGCCAACCTTGCTAACCCACAAGCCTTACTCTCCATGGGCACACTGTGACAGATTGCACCATCTAGTTACCAGTCTGTGGCTCTGGTTTGGCAAAAGGGTAGATTGAAAATGTGACTGGCAGAGAGACAGAAATGGCAAAATTGGAAGTTATTGTATAATATATTAAAGATGCACTCTGCAATTAGAGAAACAACAAAGAAATGTTCAGCACTTAATTGAATATGAAGTAATCTCTTCATAGAGCATGACTTACAGTGGTTTGCGAAAGTATTCACCCCCCTTGGCATTTTTCCTATTTTGTTGCCTTACAACCTGAAATTAAATTGATTTTTTGGGGGGTTTGTATCATTTGATTTACACAACATGCCTACCACTTTGAAGATGCTAAACATTTTTTATTTCAAGTTGGATGGGTTCCGCTGGTGTACAGCAATCTTTAAGTCATACCACAGATTCTCAATTGGATTGAGGTCTGGGATTTAACTAGGCCATTCCAAGACATTTAAATGTTTCCCCTTAAACCACTCAAGTGTTGCTTTAGCAGTATGCTTAGGGTCATTGTCCTCCTGGAAGGTGAACCTCCGTCCCAGTCTCAAATCTCTGGAAGACTGAAACAGGTTTCCCTCAAGAATTTCCCTGTATTTAGCGCCATCCATCATTCCTTCAATTCTGACCAGTTTCCCAGTCCCTGCCAATGAAAAACATCCCCACAGCATGATGCTGCCACCACCATGCTTCACTGTGGGGATGGTGTTCTCTGGGTGATAAGAGGTGTTGGGTTTGCGCCAGACATAGCGTTTTCCTTGATGGCCAAATGCTCAAATTTGAGTCTCATCTGACCAGAGTACCTTCTTCCATATTTGGGGAGTCTCCCACATGCCTTTTGGCGAACACCAAATGTGTTTGCTTATTTTTTTCTTTAAGCAATGGCTTTTTTCTAGCCACTCTTCCGTAAAGCCCAGCTCTGTGGAGTGTACGGCTTAAAGTGGTCCTATGGACAGATACTCCAATCTCCGCTGTGGAGCATTGCAGCTCCTTCAGGGTTATCTTTGGTCTCTTTGTTGCCTCTCTGATTAATGCCCTCCTTGCCTGGTCCGTGAGTTTTGGTGGGCGGACCCCTCTTGGCAGGTTTGTTGTGGTGCCATATTCTTTCAATGTTTTAATAATGGATTTAATGGTGCTCCGTGGGATGTTCAAAGTTTCTGATTTTTTTTTTTATAACCCAACCCTGATCTGTACTTCTCCACAACTTGTTTGGAGAGCTCCTTGGTCTTCATGGTGCCGGTTTGCTTGGTGGTACCCCTTGCTTAGTGGTGTTGCAGACTCTGGGGCCTTTCAGAACAGGTGTATATATACTGAGATCATGTGACAGATCATGTGACACTTAGATTGCACACAGGTGGACTTTATTTAACAAATTATGTGACTTCTGAAGGTAATTGGTTGACCCAGATCTTATTTAGGGGCTTCATAGCACGCACCACTTATTTTTTTCATTTCACTTCACCAATTTGGACTATTCTGTGTATGTCCATTACATGAAATCCAAATAAAAATAAATTTCAATTACAGGTTGTAATGCAACAAAATAGGAAAAACGCCAAGGGGGAGAATACTTTTGTAAGCCACTGTCTCCACTATTGGGGTTTTCCTGTACTGTAGGTGTTTGAGGGGAACCAGGATACTGAAACTCCAGTGTTGGCCCTATTTAACGAGTCGTCAACAGTGGCACGCTACATCCGCATCAATCCACAGAGCTGGTACGAGAACGGAACTATCTGTCTGAGAGCTGAGGTTCTGGGCTGTACCCTACCAGGTTTGTCCACCACCATCATCACAACATCCTCCCAACACTAGATTAAGACACAGGAATCATAACCTCAACAATATTCAAATGTTATTGAATTTCCATTATGTTGTGTCTTTCCCCTCCTGTAGATCCCAACAACATCTATGCTTGGCAGCAGACGGAGCAAGGCACCCAAGACAAGCTGGACTTTAGACACCACAACTACAAGGAGATGAGGAAAGTAAGGCCTGATGTGGAGACTTTCAGCACTCACCCATAGGCCACTGGTGTAGTTTGAGGGTTCTTTAGAATTATGGTGGTGCAGATTTGATAATGAACTGACCACATTCACAGCCATACATCAACTCAACTACTTCCTGTTCTCTTCCAACAATTAACAAATATCTGATCAATAAGAATATAGCAGCGACTCTCAACTGGTGGTGGGGGAGGGGGGGGGGGGGGGGTCGTGGGAGGTTTCAAATGGGTTGCGGGTGTCTGAGAGAATTATCATTATAATTCCAAACAACTGATTCACCATATTTTAAACCTACACAACAGTGACTTAGAAAATAATAAAATGTCTAATTAAAAAAAATCCTAAACTGGCTAAGATTTTGTGATGTTGAGCATAGCAGCAGGGACATGGCATGCAACAGTTAGCAAGAAACTCCCTCCCTTCACTTCAATCTACTCTCTGTGGCGCGTGACTGAATCTGTCCTGGAAGCAGAGGGTTTCTGGTTAGAGCTCCCTCCCTCACTCTCACCGAAAAACAAATATTTGTAGTATTTTTTTTCTTCTTCTTCTCCTTACTACACTGCCACTACCACTCAGTAAAGAGCTTGAGGTAAGACTGACAGTTACGATGTAACATTGGGCTTGTGTCCACACACACACACACACCGCACTCTCCCCATGTACTCGCAAACTAAACCAGGACTATGTATCCAGTTAACTAAACCAGGACTATGTATCCAGTTAACTAAACCAGGACTATGTATCCAGTTAACTAAACCAGAACTATGTATCCAGTTAACTAAACCAGGACTATGTATCCAGTTAACTAAACCAGGACTATGTATCCAGTTAACTAAACCAGGACTATGTATCCAGTTAACTAAACCAGAACTATGTATCCAGTTAACTAAACCAGGACTATGTATCCAGTTAACTAAACCAGAACTATGTATCCAGTTAACTAAACCAGGACTATGTATCCAGTTAACTAAACCAGAACTATGTATCCAGTTAACTAAACCAGGACTATGTATCCAGTTAACTAAACCAGGACTATGTATCCAGTTAACTAAACCAGGACTATGTATCCAGTTAACTAAACCAGGACTATGTATCCAGTTGTACGGTAGACAAACTGTACTGTACATACTGAAGCTTCCTTCTCAGTCACACTTAACCATCATAAGGCAGTGTAACGCAATCCATTCCTGGTGGACCTCCTGGAAGCAAATACATTTGCATAACACTGGGGGTCCCACAGGAATTCAAGTCTTTTGCCGATCAGAGAACACCATAATGCTCAGTACCATTTAACTCTGTCCCTCCTCAGCTCATGAAGTCAGTGACCGAGGCCTGCCCTGACATCACACATATCTACAGCATCGGGAAGAGTCACATGGGCCTCAAGATGTACGTCATGGAGATCTCCGACAACCCTGGAAAGCATGAGCTGGGTGAGTAGATGTAGGCCTATTACAGCTTATGAAGTTTCAGCATAAGGCAATACTACATAACTTACAGCCTGGCCTCATAGACTAGACGTAACAAAGTAAATGTAAATCCGGGACACTCAAATTAGTATGATATGTTACGTTTGGTATGGTTACTTAAGGAGAAAAAAACTAAATTTAGAGTGTGCAAAGCTGTCATCAAGGCAAAGGGTGGCTATTTGAAGAATCTCAAATATAAAATATATTTGGATTTGTTTAAAACTTTTTGGGTTACGACATGATTCCATATGTGTTATTTCATAGTTTGGATGTCTTCACTATTATTCTACAATGTAGAAAATAGTCTAAATAAAGAAAAACCCTGGAATGAGTAGGTGTGTCCAAACTTTTGACTGGTACTTTATAGTGTATCATACGAATTGTAATTCGTAACATATCATACGAAATGGATGATGGACATCCACAAATGAATACATACCATACCAAACGTAACATATCATACTAATTGGAGTGTCCTGGATTTACATTTACTATGGTAAGTCCAGGTTGGAACTTATCTGCAGTACCACTGCTATAGTACTTTGTACAGTATGCTCTCAGAGACTGGACTCAACCCTTGTTCACTCTGACATGTCCAAAGTGTTTGCTTTGGGCTCACTGACCACGCTCGGCGCCCATTGAGCCGGTCTACCAGCTCTGGCAACCACTAATACCCCTTGCCGCCAGAACTCATAATGGGAGAGGGAATCCGGAATGCCATAGACAGAGAACTGGTTAGCCTGTGCACTGGAATGTAAGGAGAAACACTATCAAACAGGGGGTGACTAGTCTTCAAATGTCAATGCAAATGTTGGCCTGTTTCGTAAGAGAATAAAAAGCTTTGAATGGTTTTTGTCTGTCAACTTGACCTAATTTTGTTGTTAACCTCCAATTCCCTTGGCAGAGGTTAAGCCAGACTAGCTTAATGTTCCACTGGCAAAATCCTTGGCAGAGGTTAAGCCAGACTCTAGTTTAATGTTCCACTGGCAAAGTCCTTGGCCTTTTCATCTCATGTGCCAGTATTTACAATGTGAACTCACAGTCAGTGGGTTCATGGTGATAGAAATGTGGGGGGGATATTTTCCTATTTTATCTAACCCCAAATGTTTTGCTGTGACACAAGGCTTTAGGTATGCTGCACTGTTACTGTAAAAACTGACCATATAATCAGTTTCATGGCTGTGAAAAACACAGGCAAGATAACAGAAAGGAGAGGACAGAAATGTAAATAGTTTATGTGAGGGTGTCTGAGGTTGTTGTTGTCCAAAGGATGTCCTGTCTGTGATTTACATGCTTTGTAACGATCAGGACCTGTGCCATTCAGACTCTCTGGACAGGTGTTTTCTATCAACAATGCATTGATTCTAGGGGCCTTATTTCAACCAAAACCAGTAACCAGAATTCCAGGATTCCATATCCATTCTTGCTGTGTTATGAGAACACTGTTTTGAACCAACGTGGAATAGACGTTGAATTGACGTCTGTGCCCAATGGGAAGCATATTTTTTGTCTTACAGTATCTCAGAGATCAAGTTAGTTATGATGACTTCATAGGTCATCTAAGAACAACATTCAAATTGTTCATTATTTTCTTATTTAAAGCTATCTAACTATGCCCAGATTGCTGCTTTGAATGGGTGGTGTGTGTGTGGTGTGAATTAGAGAGGGGAGGTTAAAAACATTTCAGGAACGTTGCACTCGGAACCTACAGAAGCCCCTTGAGCATATGAACATACGTGGCTTGTGCTCCTCCAAAGCCGAGAGTAATCTTGCAGCCAAATAATTATTTGTTTGAATAAATGATTAAGTCTGGACCAGGTCGTTAAGTTAGATTCAGTCCAATCACACCAGTGTTGTGTTATGTTCGCCAAGTAAAAGCCACAGTTTTAAATGCTGTTGATTGAATTTATACTCAGCCATATCTCTTTGGCCCCGCCCCTGGAACGTTGTTACTTGACTCAAGGGACGTGGCTCAAGGGAAGTGGTCAAAAACCACAAAGCTATCAAGGGGGGATGTGCTGGATTTCAGAACCGTCTGCCAGTGGATTATATAAGGGCGGCATATTAGTAGCTTCTAACCTAATGGTCAATTTTGTACTGTATATAAACCCTGAATTGCTGATGCTATGTTTTGGCCATTGAGAGTTTTTGAAGCCGCCGGTCGGCCATATTGGCACTACCCCGTAGGAGCAGTCCTCCATAGGAATGAATGGAATTCTACAGTATTTCTAATAAAGGACAAAATTACATGTATTTAGGTATTTTTGTTGTTGTAGTGGGGACAGAAACCTTAGTAATCTCAAAAAAGTATTATGTTTAGCTCACATAATATAATTTAAAAGTATGGATTAAGGTGTCTGTAATATAATAAATGTGGCAAAAACGAATGTAGACATTAATAAATGCATTTGTATAGCTTCCAAAATATTTTTTACAACAGTAGGGGAGTGCCAAGATGGAGGCAAGGAGGCTTCAACACAGCACCCCCTATTAGTCATCTAGTGCATATACAAATCATTGGTCACAACTACTTTTGGAGGCACTGCTATGCTGTGTTTACACATGTGCTTTGTCTCCCTCTGCAGGCGAGCCAGAGTTCCGCTATGTGGCTGGAATGCATGGTAATGAAGCCCTGGGCCGGGAGCTGCTGCTCAACCTGATGCAGTATATCTGTCAGGAGTACAAACTGGGCAACCAGCGCATCGTCCGGCTGGTCAAGGAGACACGCATCCACCTGCTGCCATCCATGAACCCTGATGGTTATGAAATGGCCTTCAAGAAGGTCTCAGAAAACATGTTATAACATGTTTTGTTGTAATATAATATATTATAGTGTTATAACTGAGATTATCTTTTAATGCTCAAATTAAATGGTCAAATGTTCTTTAACCATTCAAAGAGGCCCATGTTAACCTCTGACCCTCCACTCTCCTCCCATCCCAGGGTTCCGAGTTGGCGGGGTGGGCCCTCGGTCGCTATAGCTACCAGGGCATCGACATGAACCACAACTTTGCTGACCTGAACAAGGTCATGTGGGATGCTATTGAATTTGACTACCAAAATAACGATAAGTCCAAACTCATAAACCACTACATCCCTATACCAGAGTACTACACCTCAGAGGACGCCTTTGTAAGTTGACATTTAGAATGCACATGCACAAATCAAATCACCAAATAGTATCCACACTCTGGAATTGTGTTAGAGAATTAGGGAAACCAAAAATGGGAACATTTTCTTAAATCTCCAATTATAGCGCTTGATGGTTTTTGCGACTGCACTTATAATATATAATATGCCATTTTGCAGACGCTTTTATCCAAAGCGACTTCCAGTCGTGCGTGCATACATTTTTGTGTATGGGTGGTCCCGGGGATCGAACCCACTACCTTGGCGTTACAAGCGCCGTGCTCTACCAGCTGAGCTACAGACTTGAAGAAACTTTCAAAGTTATTGAAATGTTCGGTATTGACTGACCTTCATGTCTTAAAGTAATGATGGACTGTCGTTTCTCTTTGCTTATTTGAGCTGTTCTTGCCATAATATGGACTTGATCTTTTACCAAATAGGTATACCCCCCCTCCCCCACACCTTGTCACAACACAACTGATTGGCTCAAACGCATTAAGAAGGAAAGAAATTCCACAAATTAACTTTTAAGAAGGCACACCTGTTAATTGAAATGCATTCCAGGTGACTACCTCATGAAGCTGGTTGAGAGAATGCCAAGAGTGTGCAAAGCTGTCATCAAGGCAAAGGGTGGCTATTTGAAGAATCTCAAATATAACATATATTTTGATTTGTTTAACACTTTTTTGGTTACTACATGATTCCATGTGTGTTATTTCATAGTTTTAATGTCTTCACTATTATTCTACAATGTAAAATATTGTAAAAATAAAGAAAAACCCTTGAATGAGTAGGTGTGTCCAAACGTTTGACTGGTAGTGTATATAGTACTCTAAATACGCCAATTCAAATTTAGTTCAAAAGTTTCTGAACCCTCATTGGTTTGAATGGTATTCTTTTGAACTAAACTTGAATTGGCGTATTTAGAGTACTATATAGGTAAAGAACATTGAACAGAACAAGGCTATGTCAATAACTCAATTTTGACAAAAATGCAGATACTGTATAACCTTATAGTCCCAAGCTCTCGATTTGTCATGTAGCAATATCCTTGAGAATATATGTCAAAACTATCACACATAGAATATAAACCATTTTAATTGTTGTACTTCACTATACTGTTTGAATGCAATATTCCTGTGGCATTGACCTATTCTCATATCCTATATGCCAGGTGGCCTTAGAGACGCGTGCTGTCATTAACTGGATGCAGAACATCCCGTTCGTACTAAGTGCCAACCTCCACGGGGGTGAACTGGTGGTCACCTACCCTTTCGACAGGACGGAAGACTGGGCACCTCGCGATGACACCCCTACACCGGACAATAGTTTCTTCCGCTGGCTGGCCACCGTCTATGCCAGCACCAACCAGGTTATGTCGAATCCCGACCGCCGGCCTTGTCACAATGAAAACTTCCAACGCTACAACAACATCATCAACGGAGCAAACTGGCACACGGTCCCAGGAAGTGAGAATTCAACCGCTTTTATGGTCATGCATTTTGTGATCTTGTTTATCTCATCATTGTCTTTGTTAAAGTACCTTTTTTTAAGATTTACATTCTTGATTATTTGCCTTAAACCTCTATCTGTTTTCCAGGCATGAATGATTTCAGCTATCTACACACCAACTGCTTCGATGTGACAGTGGAGCTGTCCTGTGATAAGTTCCCCCATGCCAGTGAGCTGGCCATCGAGTGGGAGAACAACAAAGAGTCTTTACTGATCTACATGGAGCAGGTCCGTCCATCAATAGTGTCTGGTGCAGTTTAAACACAACATGATGGTGTTGTTGATCTCTATATTTTCCCTTTCTATTGAAGGTCCATAGAGGACTCAAGGGTGTGATCAGAGACAAAGACACAGAGGCTGGCATTGCAGATGCCATAATCAAAGTGGATGACATCGACCACCATATTAGATCAGGTGGGCTGTCTCCCTCCTCACATGCAAATGTTTTCACGTCAGTAAATGATACAAGAAGAAAACCTCAAAATGATACCGTCAAATTGCCCCTAGAGGGCACTGCAGGAATATGTTATCAAAGGAGTAGGCCAAAGAAGCCAACAACTAACCAGTAGCCATTTTGTGTCCTGCTTCTACTGCAGTTGCTGACGGGGACTACTGGCGCCTGCTGAACCCGGGCGAGTATGAGGTCACGGTGAGCGCCGAGGGCTACAACCCTTCCACACGTACGTGCCGTGTGATGTACGAGCATTACCCCACCATCTGTGACTTCCGCCTCACCAAGACCTCCAAACAGAGGCTGAAGGAGATCCTGGCCAAGGGAGGCAAGCTCCCCAAAGACCTGCAGCTGAGGCTGCGACAGCTGCGTCTGAGAAAACTGAGGGCCAGCACCAAGGCCATCAACGGTCGACGTGCGGCTGCTAGCAGGAAGGCACGGGGGTCGTGATGTTGATCAGGCATTCGGTGAACCAATCACAACACACTTTGTCTGGAGGGTTGTTGTATTTCATTGGCTCTTGTGAGGGAACTTCCTGGTTTAAGTCAGTTTGGAAGTCTTTACACCATGTGGGCAGTTCTGTAGGGCTAGCCTACTGAGATGCAAAAAAAATAACAATGTAAATGTAAAATGCATTGTACTTACGGTATGGTTTAGTGATTTATTTCTGAAGAAAGGGACATATCGTATTTAGATATTTGAATCAGATTGGAGAAAATAATTGCAAACATGTATAACAGGAACAATATTATTTTCACTTGAAGAACTGTTAGTTACAACAACAAATTAAGTGGCATGATGCTGTTCAAATCCACCGTTGGGTAGATATACCACTATTCAAGTAAAATTCCTGCCACAAATTACAGACCAAACTCATGAGACTAAAATGACTAATGTATCATATCATAGAGACAAGAGCTCTACTGTTACAGTCTGGGACTGATAAGAGTTCTACATGAGATATTTTAAATCTATTCAAATGAAATTATATGACTTCTAATATTTGTCTTTCTTTGGTTCATTTTTGTACTACCAAAATGAAATGCTGGCATTTGGATGTCCTTGCAAGCCAAGAGACAACGTTATAAATGGATCCCAAATAAAGCTTTACTTACAACACCAATAGTTCAAACCCATGTCTTATCTTCTATGGAGTTGCAAATCCTGTTGCCGCCGCCATCCTGCATGGCGTTTGCGACTGACAAAGCGACACCACAGGGTAGTGATCAGGGGTAGGACGACACAGGCGAGTGCCACGGAAACGCCCACCCACATCACCACCGACAGCTGCCCGCTTCTCCGCCAACGAGGCATGACAAGCACCAGACACTCACCATCTAGACAGCATGAACTCAACCAACACAGCCTAGCCCCCAAAACAACATCAGCACTCAAGCACTCAAAAGCATCAAACTCTTCAAAATAATGTGACAAATGTATCAAACACTTCAAATTAGCTTACAGTTTATCCAGGCTCTGTCGCAGCCGGCCGCGACCGGGAGACTCATGGGCGGCGCACAATTGGCCCAGCGTCGTCCAGGGTAGAGGAGGGAATGGCCGGCAGGGATGTAGCTCAGTTGATAGAGCATGGCGTTTGCAACGCCAGGGTTGTGGGTTCGATTCCCACGGGGGGCCAGTATAAAAAAAAATATGTATTCACTAACTGTAAGTCGCTCTGGATAAGAGCGTCTGCTAAATGACTAAAATGTCAATGTAAATGTTAAAAACATGAACATTTCCAAGGGGGGCAAAGGAAAGTCTCTGACACAGATACAGTATCTGGGAATATATTTTCTCCCCCTTTAGAAGTGCTACAGTGTTCTCATCACCTTTTTCTGGTGGATTCCCTTGAGTAGAGCGAATGTGCTGAGGTGGTTGCAGGAGCACACAGTGTGAGTAGAGTTTGACATCACTGAGGTGCAACCTTTCCCAGACCACACCCCCGGTCCATTCTAATCCGACCAATAAAACACAGCTGGGGTCCACATAACTTGACTGTGATACAGTGGATATGGGTTGGGGTCAATTCCATTTTCACTCAGTCAAATGTTTTCACTTCAGGACAAATATATCAACGCAAAACCTGTTTTACGGACAATCAGAGACCCTTCTAAAGAGATACCAGTGTTACCTGCAGGTGATTGAAGGTGATATTGACAGGTTGGGGCAGGTTTGTTGTGTTGGAGTTTCGAACAGACACCGTCACAGCACTGGTCATGAGCTGCTGGCTCTGATGAGAAGAGCTGTCCTTCAGAGTATCCAGATTCTTATAACTGAACAGAATGACAAACGCAAACCCTGTACACAAAACAAACAACAAAAAATACACTGCTACTACGGTGACCATTGGACTGGAGGCCCAGTTGAAGAACATCAGTGGCATTAACCAGTAACTAGAGAAGAGAGATAACCGATTACAGAGAGGAGGTGTGTGTTTGTGTGTGTGGACAACAGATATTTTAGGTTTAGGGGTTCGGCTTAGGGGTTAGGGTTAAAATAAGGGTTAGGTTTAGGTTTAAGGTTAGGTTTAGGGAAAATAGGATTTTGTGTGTGTGTCTTACTGTCAAAAGCACATCTCCAATCAATGGCTTTCCAGACGATACAGAGTTACTCAACAGCAAACAGTTGTCTCTCACCAGAGACAAGAGACTGTCAAAGGATGGTAGTCTGGAAGGGAGAGGGGGCCCTGCAGCAGGGGGGGAAATGCATTCAAAATGTAAAAAATCAAGGAAAAATACACTTTTCTACATTCTTAGTGTAATAATTCAAAACCAAAGCTTTACCTGTCCAGGCTGTGTTTCATGTTGGTCACAATTAAACTCTAAAGTAAAAGTAAAAACATGAGCACAGTTTAACTCAATACCCTTCTACAGTACAGTGTCCAGACCCGTGCATGAGAAAAGGAACCACTGGGCACTGTCGTAGTAAATATAAAATGTTATAGCTTGGTCTGACTAAAATCTTGTGCATGACCCATTTTAATGTTAGGAGCTTGTTTTCAATCAATGCTGTTCCTATGCAAGAACAATGGACAGAGGACCAATATCTTGTCAAGGACAACACCCACGCCACAGGCCACAATCTGGTTGCTCCCCACGAGTCTTTCCCATGAGACATACACATTCACACACACATCTCCATGCATACGCACACTCATTTTCATGCCTCACGAGTTCTTGCTCTGAGGACGCACACACACAAAAATGCATACGCACACACACACAACTGCACTTCTTTCTACTGGTCGGGTGCCAAGGGCAGAGGACTCTGCCGTGCACCAATGGGGCTTCTGCTCTGGACAGAGCAGACCCGCCTCCTACGCCTCGGGAACCAATCAAGGGACTAGAAGAAAGACCCTTTCTTTATGTTGCATTGTATAAAGTAATGCTGAAAACTCTGTTTTTGATCCCTTTTCAACTGTCTCCATAAGAGGCAACTGAATGGGTCCATGCATGTAGCTTGAGCAGATACCAGCTATCTCTGTGTTTAATAAACTGCCTTTTGCTTAAACATATTCCTCTCCGTCTAGCGTCGTTGGTTTTGTACTTCCTCTCCTGTATGGTTTCACCAACAAAATGGTAGCAGAGGATGGTTTAAATTCGATCTAAAAGTTGGTGCGAGAGGAAAAGGCAAATCATCGATCTAAAAACAGACGGAAGAGTGACCTGAAAATCCAGGAGACATCAACTATTCGTCTTGGCTCAGGAAACTGATCAGAGCGCGCTCTTCTAAAAAGGTAAGCAGAGCCTGTTAAAACAAAATCTTGCATATTGTATTGTAGACCAATACCAAATTATGATCAGTAGTACTGAGCGTGAGTATGAATACTTGTTAAATAATTTCCATCCTAAATGAATTAAGGCATACATGAGATATCTCGTACTGTGATTTATATTAATTAATCTATGTGAAGGCATAGTGGAAATCATAGTATAGATCTATGTGGAATTTAAATCTATGTGAAGGCATAGTGGAATCATAGTATAGATCTATGTGGAATTTGCTGTGTTTTATATTTTAACGTGTCTGTGTTATATCTTAAACGTGTAATGGATGATGGGAAGTTATAGTGAGACTTATGAGACCGAACACCAATCTGTGGAATTGAGTGAATTTGACCTAGGGTTTCAGGAACCGGGGACTGGGGAGACTGATATTGAAGTTGTGCAATGATTCTAGAACAAGCGTGAGATAACTAAAGCGTGGTGTGTGCTGTGTGTAGAAATTACTGCATTGGTATATGTGACTGGAATTCTGACTTTTATGATAATGATTGCACTACACATAATATAAAAACAATCAGCCTCTTTATATACGAGGGTGTCGTACATGAGATAAGTCTGTAATTGATACCGATAATACATCCTTGGAAATAAAACACCAGGGACGGGTTAAGTGTATAAAGATAGAGAAATGGCAGGGCCAAACCCAACCATACCCAAATTTAATGAATACTTAGAACAACGAATGACAGGGAGAGTAATGCCAGAGTCCACCAAGGGAGGGAGGTCATGTGCCCGCCCTTGATAGAAACAGATAGAAATGACTGATTATGTGAAGAAATTGACAGAATTTTCTGCAGCACTCTCTTCTCAGGTGCGGAAGGCCCAAGAGGGGGAGCTGTCGGGAAACACGCCACCACTGAAGGTAAAAGTGGGAGACTGGGTGAGGGTGAAAGTCCACAAAAGAAAGTGGCTGGAACCCAGGTGGACTGGACCGTACGAAGTGAAGGAGGTTACTTCACACTCAGTCCAGGTCAGAGGTAAATCAGGAGCACCCTGGCACCATCTAACACATTGCACTCCAGCCCCCACTCCTTCCAGACTATTGTCTGAAGTAAGAGCTGATTTGAGCAGCGAGAACCAATCCTGACAACACAATGAAGAAACCCTTATGGGAACAACAATCTCACTCAGGGTGAAGAAGAACTTTTTCCCCCTGGGAGAGATTGGGAGTGTCTGAATGTTTGTATGTATGTTTTCTGATAGGAATTGGACTCCTGCTGGGCACTCCTTATGAGGTGTTGTTGTGTGAAGCTATTTTGAATTACTTGTTAAATTGACTTGTAATATAGAAGAGGTGGCTAAGGGATTTTTAACAGTACCAACCGGGGGGCAAATCCTCACAAGAGGTCCCAGAATTTACTGGGGACGAGAAATGCTTGATGTAATTAAAATGGAATCCAGAGATAGAAGAAATCTCCATTATATAACCAGGTGGAGGGAGAGGTATGGTTTTGAGGGACGTCTGGACGCAGATAAACTCGAATCCATGCTTAAACAGATACATAAGGTGTGTAAAGGAGAAATAAGCAGTGAGAGAGAGAGAGAGTAGGAGGGGGCCAGTACCCACTGATAGCCTTACCTAATCTATTGGCGGGGAATGAAAGGGGCCCCAGCAACCTTAGATGTATACAGTAATAATAATAATATGCCATTTAGCAGACAGGCCATGAACACAGAGGACGTGGCTTTAATTGGGGATTTCAAATAGAAAACAACACACCTAGTATGATGTTAATAAAGTCTTGTTGTTTCAATTTTGGAGGGTTTTCAGCAGGTCAAGGGTTATAGGTCTTAGAGGAGCACACAGTGAATTTTATGGAGTTTTTTAGGTTTTGGCTGAGTTTGGGGTATATATGATTTCTTATGAGAATGAATGTCATGAGGACTTAATGAACACTTGGGATAACTAACATTTATGAAATATTTAGAATAATGGTAATGTTTAGTATACTATGGGATTAAACAGTTCGTTAAATGATTTCAATGGCCTCTGAACTCTGTTTTAAAATTCTGGTGTTATTTTAATCATCCACACTAGTAAATTCTAAAGGCATGAGAGGAGGACTTTAAGATAGTTTATTTTACTAAGTTGAGGGTAATTTATAGTACTGTGAAAATTGTGAAGAAGATTATAATTTGGTAATAATATATTTGATTTGAACCATAAAATAACAGAAGAGTGGTCCTTCGAGCCGGATGGCAATTGGATAATGAAATACCAATATTAACTAAAGTGATTGTTTAGGTAGGTGGTAATATTGACACATGGCCAAATCATGTGTCAAAAAGGGGGATGGTTGGATTAAATATTAAATATATACGAAGGAGAGGACAAAATACTTAAAAAAAACAAAAAAAAAACATGTATGATAGTTTATTAACCACACCTGTATGTCAGAGGTTTTGTGCCCCACAGGTGAACTAAAGGAGAAGGTGACCCACTCTATCTAACCAGGAGACTGAATCAGGCCTGGCGGGAAGGGCCCTACCAAGTACTGCCTTTGCCAGCAGAATAGCTGAGAGATCCATCTGGGTGCATGTCACACACTGTAAAAAGGCAAAACCAGCTACACCTGACGAACAAACACAGAGTTAGGAGAAAGATCCGATTACCACTAGGGCTCGGGGGTTGGCTCCTTAACGAAGATTCCCTTACCCTGTCTGATCATCCCTGTGTGAGTTCGATAGAAGGTAAAGCAATGGGTTGGCCTCTGGCATCTGACATGTTCTCAGGGCAAATGTGGGGATTCACAGGTCTCCCGATGGTAGGTAGCTGTCTGATTGTGGGGGCCATATTCCTAACACACACGGACCCTCCTGTTTCAGCCAGAAGTGGTAGTTAACCTAACACAAGTTGAAAAGGCATAGGAGACAGCTAGACGTAGGGAAAGGGGAAATTCTAGAGTAAACCTCTCTGAGGGAGGTAGTGAGACCGGGGCTGTGGTAAAGATAGTGCAAAACTATAGACCTGGAGGAAGTAGTACAGGTGGAAACGGGGTATAGAAATCTTAACCTGTGGTTGGAATGGATTCAGTATACGGCAAAAACTATGTCTAAAGAGGACTGTTTTGCCTGTGGGACAGCCAAACCAAGGTTAACAACTACTCAGTTCCCCTTGACAGGCTTTGACTCTCTGTCAGGTTTATCCTCCATGCAAGCCACCCTGGGAATGTGGTGAAAGAGTCTTATGGTAACTTGCACTATCTGTTTCCCCCGATAACAAAGTCATCCCGACCTGGGTTGCCTCCGTTTGAAGTCTCAGGGGATTCTTATTATTGTTTTTCTAGGACTAGTAAGGATAGGATACAGGGTAGGGCATCTTAGCTCCTGCTCCCACACAGAGAATGTCACACCTAAAGAGACCATGACTAATCTCTCCTCTTTGTTGCAGCCAGAGGATTATAGGAGCCAAAACCAGGCCCGTGCTGACATCTGATGGTTGTGTGGTGATAACTGATTGTGAACTCACCTACATACGCAAACAATCAAACGTGTCAGAGACTGGTGAGTTGTCACATAGAAAGTAGGACCTCCTCCCGGGATCCTTTGATGAAAGGATATATATTGATGGGATCCACAATCAGATCACAGCTGGGTTTGAATCAAGTATTTTCTGGTGGTCAACAATTAATAAAAATGTAGATTGGATAAATTATATTTAATATAACCAGCAAAATATTTATAAACCACACTCGTGATGCAATAAAGGGATTAGCTGAGCAGACAGCGGCAACTAGCTTAATGACATGGCAGAATAGAATAGCTTTAGATATGCTTTTGGCTGAGCGGGACGGGGTTTGTGTTCTGTTTGGATATATGTGCTGTACTTTCATCTCCAACAATATAGCACCGGACGGGCCCGTGACCAAAGCGCTTGAGTGACCATCACCACGCTGGCGAACGAACTGGTTGAGAACTCTGGTATTGATAGCTCCATAAACGGTTGGTTTGATAACATATTTGGTAAATGGAAAACTATTGTTGTGACTATTCTGGGTGAAGTTATAGCTTCTATGGGTATACTTGTTCTTTGTGGATGTTGTCTTATTTCCTGGCTGAGTGACTGGTTTGGTGAGTACTCTTCTATGGTGGTTACTGGATTTCTGACCCTAGTAATTGTGTTTTTGCTGTTAATGTGTTGTGTTGCTTGCATCGTCCCCTGTCTCAGGAGGTCAGTGGTAGGAGTGGTGCAGGCGTCAGGTATGATGCTGTTGTTACCGGCCCAGGATGATGCAGGTGACTCTGCTACTGACTCTGAGACCAAGCTGGATGATCCATGTTTTGCCTAGTAAAATACATACACGCATTTATTTTCAGTTCTTGCTCATTTATTACCTTATGTTTTTACTAACCACTGTGATTGTTTATTCTTCCTGATGTGAAGGTAAAGGATTCCTGGGTGGCTGGTAGCCAACTCAGTACATGTTAGGTGTAGGGGAGGAATAGAGGGTTAAAATTATTATTTTTATTTTTTATTAACATTAAATGTTGTGATTTAATTTCCATATCCTGTTATTCTTAAGGGTGATTATACTCTGTTTAGAGTGACACCATACAATTATTGGGTTTTATTTTTAATTGGATCTGTATGTGATGAATAGCTTGGAAGGAATGCATTAAGGAGGAGCACTGTACTGATATGGATTGTTTCACATAACAGGCTGATAAGAACACTCTCTCTTTGTTGTCTGTGAAACTGTCCTTGAACATGGGTACATGGAGTACAGTGGAATGGTGTCTTTTGGGTGCTGACTGTTGTACCATTAATAAAGACGTCGATAGAATTAACTACATACATTAATGTCCAGAAATTAGAAAACTGGACTCAACAAGGTTTTGAGGCTGTTCATGGACAACTAGCTGCAACTTCATTAATGGCTTTTCAGAATAGAATTGCTGTTGATATGTTACTTGCTGAAAGAGGGGGTGTGTGTGCTATGTTCGGGGAACAATGTTGTACTTTTATTCCTAATAATACTGCTGCAGATGGAAGTTTGACAATTGCTCTGGAAGGGTTACGAACTCTTAATGGCAAAATGAAGAGCCACTCAGGGGTGGATACTTCAATGTGGGACTCTTGGATGGATGCGTTTGGTAAATATAAAACGCTTGTTTCTTCTATACTTGTATCCATCTCTGTTTTTGCTGCAATTCTAGTGCTTTGTGGATGCTGTTGCATTCCATGCATACGGACGCTGACAACCAGGATTATAACCACCGCTATTGATCCAAATCCTGCAGATAACGGTCAGATGTTTCCTTTGCTTGCTATTGACGATGCTGACCTAGGATATCTGGATGATGAATAGCATTTAAGCTTTTTGTCACGTCTCTTGTGAGACGTGAAGAGGGGGAAAGTAAAACTTTATCTTCTGATAAAGTTTTCCCTATTTTGCCAATTGCACTATTAGCTTGTGTCACGTCTCTTGTGAGACGTGAAGAGGGGGAATCCAAACTTTATCTTCTGATAAAGTTTTCCCTATTTTGCCAATTGTACTATTAGCTTGTGTCACGTCTCTTGTGAGACGTGAAGAGGGGGAATCAAAACTTTATCTTTTGATAAAGTTTTCCCTATTTTGCCAATTACACTGTTAGCTTGTGTCACGTCTCAAGTTTTCCTTCTTTACTGTTACTTGGTCACGTCTCTGGGGAGACGTGAAGAGGGGGATTTGTCGTAGTAAATATAAAATGTTATAGCTTGGTCTGACTAAAATCTTGTGCATGACCCATTTTAATGTTAGGAGCTTGTTTTCAATCAATGCTGTTCCTATGCAAGAACAATGGACAGAGGACCAATATCTTGTCAAGGACAACACCCACGCCACAGGCCACAATCTGGTTGCTCCCCACGAGTCTTTCCCATGAGACATACACATTCACACACACATCTCCATGCATACGCACACTCATTTTCATGCCTCACGAGTTCTTGCTCTGAGGACGCACACACACAAAAATGCATACGCACACACACACAACTGCACTTCTTTCTACTGGTCGGGTGCCAAGGGCAGAGGACTCTGCCGTGCACCAATGGGGCTTCTGCTCTGGACAGAGCAGACCCGCCTCCTACGCCTCGGGAACCAATCAAGGGACTAGAAGAAAGACCCTTTCTTTATGTTGCATTGTATAAAGTAATGCTGAAAACTCTGTTTTTGATCCCTTTTCAACTGTCTCCATAAGAGGCAACTGAATGGGTCCATGCATGTAGCTTGAGCAGATACCAGCTATCTCTGTGTTTAATAAACTGCCTTTTGCTTAAACATATTCCTCTCCGTCTAGCGTCGTTGGTTTTGTACTTCCTCTCCTGTATGGTTTCACCAACAGCACACACTGGTTGAATCAACGTTGTTTCCACATAATTTAAATGAAATTACGTTGAACCAACATGGAATAGACGTTGAATTGACGTCTGTTCCCAGTGGGTTCACTCGTTTGGCCAAGGATTGCACCCAAGGTCCCACTTACTAGATTTCCCCCAGGTACAATAATTGAGTATGATAACCAGCAGACATTGATCGGGAATGAGTTGCATCCCTAATATAGATTCTAGTCTAGAGGGTTTATCTCCTAGATCAGACATATGAGGAGGGAGGACACATCCAAAACACCAATATGTAGGCTATATAGCACATGAGGATGTGTGAAACGTACTCCTGACTGGTGTCCCCACTTGCGCCACCGAATATTTTTATTTAATAAAGGTTAAATAAATAAAATATCTAGCTTTTTGCGTGGCGTGACTAGCAAGACGCCTCGGGGAGGGCGGTCACGTGTGCTCGTCCCCAGGCTGTTGCGCATTTGGGAGGATGTGACTGGGAACGACGTTAGGGCCACATAAACCATCTGATTTAAAAAACGCTGATTTATGTAGAATCCATATTTTCCCATACTCTGAAACATCACTACTTCTATTTTCTCTCCCTTTCAAAATATATTTTATTGATTTTTTTTTTCTGACCTTCAGGCAAATTGGGAACTCACTGCAGCAGCATTTCCCTTCATATTCTCACTTACTCTATCATAATCGAAGAGGAAGGGGTTTGCAAGGTAAACCATTAGTGTAATCACCCAAAGACAACAATGAAAAGGGTCTCTCGGTTTTTCTTCAAGTGGTGGGACCTCTCCATAAAATCAATTATTTTCCTGATGAATGGTGTCTGGTCTAGCCAAAGTATCCTAATACATTGACGGGCAACATTATCTAGATTTGTGTTAGCTCAACAGGTAGGTCTATGAACCAATGAAAATATAAAGTTTCAAGACCTATTTGGAATGGCTTACCTTTTCTTTGCAGAGATATCACAGGGATGATAATGAGGGCAAATACATTTAGGTGTGACATAACTAGTGGAAACATGTTTGAAAATTAAGAAACACACATGAATAAATGGTGGAAGATTTTAGATTCATATCACTCATACGCACTGTTCCTTCATGATCAATTGCAGGTTTCAGGGCAGACATACATTTCTCCACCAGGTGGTGCTAATATCCTGACCTCACTGACAGGCGTATTAACTATTTTGCAGACGTCATATTTCCTCGACACGTTTGGCAGCTGGAGGTGAAATCATAAATTAATATTAGATTTAGCGTGCGGCATTGTAATGTACAGGTTTGGGACATAAGTTTAAATATTAGTTTCTGCAAGTGGAACGAAGGTGAGAATGTATTATTCTGTCCGAACTGCATGCGATAACTAGCAAATTGCATGTCATGGACTAGCCGATCATGACTCAGTTCCATTACACGAGAGTAATTGTTAAGAGCCCCGACTCTCGGTCCGAACATTTAACACGCAACACTTGCGTTGCTGTTTTGGAAGCATAAGGAACTTATGTTTAATATCAGCAAGAAAGCATTTTCAAAAAACGAAATATTAAATTGATACACACCTTTATAGGGTTATGGTTCCCACATGGCCATATATTGATTAAGACCGTTAAAAGTGTGTATATTATTTTGATATGAAAGTAAAGGGCTTTATGTCGCAATTGAGAATCGATTCACGTTTAGATGGAGTATTTGGCTGCCAGAGCTAGTCTTCCTCTGAAAATAACCTTGGACATAAGGAGTAATGGCTCCTTAAGAGTACATATTTATTTATTTGCAACCTTTATTTAACTAGGCAAGTCAGTTAAGAACAAATTCTTATTTACAATGAAGGCATACCCCGGCCAAACCCGGACGACGCTGGGCCAATTGTGCGCCGCCCTATGGGACTCCCAATCACGGCCGGATGTGATACAGCCTGGAATCGAACCAGGGTCTGTAGTGACGCCTTTATCACAGAGATGCAGTGCCTTAGACCACTGTGCCACTTAGTGTTAGTCACTGACTAACAACTAGTAAACATTAGCTAGCTCATGTGCAGTACTAACTCCATAATGGACTAAAAGAGGCTAACTTTACTCCTTATAGTCCAATGACCTTACATGTTCTGTTTAAAGGTGAATTGGCTCTGGAAGCCAAAACAGCCAAATACTCCATCTAAACGTAAATGGATTATCAATTCCGGTACTGTTCTACAAACATACATCCCTTTCATATCACATCCAAAATAATTTCACAAATGCAAAATACACATACTGTACACCGTTAAACAGTTGCAGCCAAAAGTATTTTTCAGTGACAACACGTTTGTGGCGTCTCTCTTCTGTTTACATACAGCAGATAGCTAATTAGCACAGGTAGTCGTCTATTTAAGCAATAAGGCACGAGGGTGTGTGGTATATGGCCAATGTACCACGGCTAAGGGCTGTTCTTAGACACGACGCATTGAGGTGCCTTATTGTTATTATAAACTGGTTACCAACATAATTTAGAGCAGTAAAAATAAATGTTTTGTCATACCGGTGGTATACAGTCTATCGTAAACCTAAATGAAAACAAAAATGCTCATTTTTGGTCTTAAGGTTAGCAGTGTGGTTAGGTTTAAAATGGTAGAAATAGGCGGCATTTCTGACTGTGGCTGTGGTAACTAGTGACAACTAGGTACGACTCAGATATAAAGTGGGTTTTCTCCGTTTTTTAAATCGTAATTATATCAGAACACTCGTAATGACCTAATCATTACGAAACAATCAAATATGCCACACGTAGCAAATAAGCCATTACATTTTTTGTTAACCAAATTCCGACACTCTTATTGACCTCCATACCAAAACTCCTAGTTTGGTGAGCGAATTTTTTTTTTAAACACCACCTGCTGGAGAAGACAGATTTTGGCCGCAGTTATCCCTCTCGCTTCTTCCTGGTTAACCTAACGTAGCAGGCATAAAAATGCTGAGCGGAATTCCCACATCCGTTTTTCAGCGGAAAAGGAAGCTAGGTTGAATTAGCTGTATCCCTGAAAACCGGTTGCATCCGGTCGTTGGCAACTCCGCTAAGGGTTGTTTTCCATAAACACGCTGTAACATAGAGATATGGCCGTGTGGGAATTCACTAACCCTATAAAAGTGTGTATCAATGTAACCGTTTTTTCCTTTTTTATCAAGGGCTAGTGCAGTACATTATGTACTAGCTACAAAGACAGGTTTTTAGTTGTAAGATAACCTTGCTGCTTGCTTGCAACAGCTTTCTTGAGTCGTTCCTATTCCCCTAAAGTAATGGAAAAACTTGCTGCAAAGCGAAAAAGTTCCAATGTCCATTGACCTTGTTGCCTGTGTAGCTAGATAGCTAGGTGGCGTGTATGTCTCCCTTACAGAAGGGCCAGTCATTGCTGCTAGCTAAGCTAAATCAAAATGTGCCAATGGTGATTGGTTGGTTTACATACTACTGTGCAACTTATTTTGCCCATGCCTACTTCTTTTAAAATGGTCCTCTCCTCTACAGATTTGTGTCAATGCTGTGTCAGAAGATGACCGTGCACGTGAGACCTGGCTCACTGCGGACATTACATCAAATCACCTACCTGTCATCCAGACCTCCCATTCGAAGCATCTCCCACGCTCCCTTTGCCTGTGACCACCACACAACACACCGCAGCCACGTCCCTCTTCGGGTGGCCACATTACCATGCCTCCGTCCTAGTCTGCCTCTCAAATCAAATGTATGCTTTCAGCCCTGTAGACCAGCATCTACAACCAGCGGTACAGGCTGGTATGAGAGCCTAGCAGACTCTACTCCTGTCCATCTGACTGAGCAGCTACTGATATCTGTCCATCAGACCACGGGTCTACCATGGTGGGCCAGTATCGTGTGCACCACTGTGGCCCTGAGGACAGTTGTCACACTGCCACTGGGAGCTTATCAGGCGGTCATCATAGCAAAGGTCTGTGTTGCATCAAGAACCAAGCATTATATTGTACAGTGTTTTTTGTTGTTGTTGCCCACACTAGTCCCAACGGGGGCAGAGTTGAGATTGAGAAGCCCTGGGGTGCATCTCCATAGTCTAAAGTCAAGTATAATAATATATTATAATAATCCATTTAGCAGACACTTTTATCCAAAGCGACTTACAGTCATGTGTGCATACATTTTTACGTATGGGTGGTCCCGGGGATCGAACCCACTACCCTGGCGTTACAAGCGCCATGCTCTACCAATTGAGCTACAGAGGACCACATCAAGTGGCATCCTTCCTCATCATATTTCCTTCAGCTGCACAGATGTGCAAGAACTGGCAAGTTGAAAGCACATTTCCAGGAAGCGTCGACCATTGGTTTCACCTATTTTGTAAATACGGATGGGTGCAGGTGAAGGAAAAGAGATGAGAGGAGGAAGCTACGTTAGACTATTGAGATGCACTGCTGGTGTAATCTATCATTTGCTTAACAATTTGAAATGTAAATGTACAGAAACATGATTTGAAGTTCTCATCCATATTGCTGTGTGAAACAAGTGGATCATGATATAGTCACAATGGGGAGATTTTCTCTACTGCTCATTCACTATTCCACTTGAAACTTCCTCGTCTCCCATCCTTGTCTGTTACTGAAGCATCCCAGGAAGATTAAGATGTTTACACACATTCTGGGGAACTATGACAGGCAATGTAAAGTCAGCCAATGCTTCTCTGTGACTGTGCAAACATTGCTGAGCACTTGGCCTTTATTAAGCATTCTTTCCCACTCCGTCCTCCTCAGCTGTGGGTTGTTTATTTTTCCAGTTTTTTCCCCCCCAGTGTCGTCGTCTTCCTACTTTTCTTCCCCTCCCCAGTGCTGCTCTCCCACTGTGTGAGAACAAGGGTCAGCATATCGCTCCCCCTCCCACAGGCCTCACACAGACAGCCGTAGCAGCAATCTACTCAAGCCTATGAATGTCCTCCATGATGAGTCATCATGAGAAAAACTGCTTTTTGACTTTGATATTTGGCTGTAATACATCAAGGTCCCTGACTCTTAGAGGACTTTGAGAACTAGATTTTTAAAAAGGAGCAGTCGGGTTGAATGTTTTGTTGTCATAACTCAGAGAGTGCTCTTTCGTGACCAGGCTCCCTGGCTAGCCTGATTCCCTCTACGACCCATGTCCAGTTTTGGGTTACTAATGTGGGCTGTGTAATTTAGAACTTTTGGCTGCATTTCAGGGGGAGTCCATGTTGAATCAAAGTTAACCCCCATGCTCCTCTTTGCCTCCAGCTAGGTTGAAGCCCTGCAAGTGGAGATAGCGGAGCTTGCTAAGAGGCTGCGCTACGAGATCTCGGTGCGGGCCAAAGAGAAGGGCTGGACGGAAAAACACTGCCGGTGAATAAATGATCTTTGACCTGGGCTCCTGGAGGGCTGCTTCTGGGAGCTTGGCGCCAACTCTGAAACCACAGCCTATAAATATTAACCAAAACACAACACACTTCCATGACGTTTGAGATTTTCTTCAAAGAAAAGTGCTCTCTTGCTCTTATCTGTCAATGTAATGGTGTATGACAGTTAACTTTTTAGATCTGGTTAGTTATGGAATACAATTTAACTTCTATGGGGAAGTTCCATGTTGTTTAACTGATACATGACACTGTATCAGGTTTCCAATGTCAGCTATGATGTTTTAAAAGAAGTAACTTAAAAAATTGAACTTCCTTAATTGCCTGGCATTTGGATTCCTTTGTGTCACATTAGATACCAATTCAAGAAGAACCTGAAGAGGATAGTGTCTGAGCTGTACGTGAGGGATAACTGCCACCCCTTCAAGGCAAGCCTGCTGATATGGGTGCAGCTGCCCATGTGGGTATGCCTCTCCCTGGCCCTGCGCAACCTGAGCCTGGGGGTGTCTGATGCTGCCACCGGTAAACCTCCACACTCACTCAATTAATCAATACATTCACAATCAAGTCTGTTGTATCTTCTACAAGCTACATAATCACATATTATTTTTTTTTCAGCGTTGCAGACAGAGCTGGCAGTAGGGGGCACTCTATGGTTCTCCGACCTGACATTGCCTGACTCTACCTGGATCATGCCTGTCTCTCTGGGCCTCATCAACCTGCTCATCACAGAGGTGAGGCCCTGGTCGAACTAACATACCCGGCTTGAGCAACACCTCCATTAGACACACAATATGGAAACCTTTTAGATGAGAGCTTTGATCCACCTAGTATTCAGACCCTGTGGCTGCTGTTTTTACAAGAGGACACTCCTCACCTAACATGCTTTCAGATAGACCTGTGTTCAACTCACAATAGATTTCAGGTGGTGGAGTGTCAGGTTTTGGTGTAATGAAATACTCCAATGTAGGCTAGGACAGAACATACTATCGTAGATTATCTACTGGGAGACGGAAAAGATAGCGATATGAGAGTTGCTGGCTTGGTTCGGACTAGTTTTGTGATAGTCACATCTGTTTTTGATTTAAATGGATACTTCAAGATTTTGGCAATGAAGCCCTTTATCTACTTCCCGAGTGAGATGAACTCGTGGATACCATTTTTATGTCTCTGTGTGCAGTTTGAAGGAAGTTGCTAACTAGCGTTAGCGCAATGACGAAGTCTATGGTAACTGCTAGCATGCTAGTCGATACCATAGACTTCCAGTCATTGCGCTAACACTAGTTAGCATTGGCTCGCGAAACTACCTAATTTCCTTCATACTGGATGCGCAGAGACATAAAAATGGTCCCCATGAGTTCATCTGACTATGGGGAAGTAGACCTGTTCATTGGCAAAATCCCAAAGTATCCCTTTAAGCATTTCACTGTTAGTCTACAACTGTTGTTTACAAAGCATGTGACAAATATTTGATTTGATTTGAGTTTGGTCATTCTGCATCCCTCGCTGACCCATGAATAGATATTAAAAACCAGAATGCATTTCCCAGTAGCAATGAGAATGTCGATCTTCCCCACAAACGTTTCCCTTAAGTCTAGTTTATTTGTGTTGTCAGTTATTTGCTCTGCGGAGGATAGAAGCATCCAAGTTCCAGAAGTATGTGACCAACTTTATCAGAGGGATCTCTCTGTTGATGATCCCCATAGCTGGCACCGTGCCCTCCGTAAGTGTGTGTGTGTCTGCATGCTTGTATGTGTCAGCACACGCAACCACAAACCAAGGAACCATTTATCCTTCAACAACATGTCATCACAAAAGCTGTCAAACATGCCACATCACTTTCCCCCTGTAAATTAAGACAGCTAGCACATTTCTCTAGCCATGCCTATGGCAACACACTCCCACTAGCGCTGAAACAAAAGACCTCAGCCACACGTTCGTCTCCTTCTTGCCCAGACAGGCATAACCCACATTGCCCCGTGCACCTATCCACCCATCGCATTACGTAAGGGATGGATGAGACGAACACTTTGTTTAGAAACCCACCTAAATGGTGATAGATGAAAAAACACTGAGGATGTTTTCTCCCCGACTTCGGTGATAGTTCCACCAAGTCCACAGACCCATGCACAGGATGTCTGGCTTATCTGGGACACTGTGCGAAAGATACACACACACACACACACAGTCGGAGACATACACACACATAGTATACACTTTACAGTTGGGCAGATGTTGCGACAGACAAACCCTGTTTGTACCTGAAGAGCCCCATCCGGCTTTGAAAGCCCTCTCTTGCTCCTATAGCTCCCTCTTTCCCAGGTACACTGATGCAGCCTCCCAATCTAGCCCCCCTCAATCTGATTCGATAATCTGGAGTGTAATTTTGTTGTGTCTCCATTCGAGCACCATCATAGTTGCATAAGAAGCTACCGAAGAGGAACCCAAAATACACTGTTCCATGTGAGAGTAGGCCTTGTGAAATGATGCAAGGGAGACTGAAACAATCTGAGGCTACTCACAACCTTTGGTTTAGTTAGATATATTTTAGCAGGTGACGTTTCGTATGCTTTTTCAGATATAATTATGAAGGGCTACCCGTACGCACCTAATTTTCGAAAGCTATTTAATATTACGGCTATGCATGCATGGTATTCAACTTTGCTTATTTGCTTATGCTGAATGCCGAAGATTGATACGCTCTCCATCTCCCTTCCTCTTTCTTCCCCAGTCCATGGCTCTGTACTGGCTAAGCTCCAGTTGTGTGGGACTGGGCCACAACCTGCTCCTGCGCTCACCTCGCTTCCGAAGGCTGTGCTGCATCCCCCCCACGCGCTCTGACTCGGACACGCCTTACAGGGACATCGCTTCCTCCTTCGTCTCCAAATACATCAAGTGAAATAGGTTTTCTAGCTAATAGTAGAGAAAGAGACTGTCGCCCTCATTCAGTCAATCTTCACGATGAGTTGAAGAATCACGTGTGTTAGCACTGGGTTGGAACAAACACCTGCACTGTACACCCTGTATCTCTCCAGAACCAGGGTTGGTGACCACTGAACTAAGATCTAGAGTGCACCACGTTGGGGTGATGGTCCATCAGAGAGAATCAGACCTTGTGGACATGGAGTATCCAACGCGTCCATATCTGACAAACCAAGTCAGTATCAAAATATCTATGTGACTGCTATATACTGTAGCATGTACAGTACCAGTCAAAGGTTTGGACACACCTACTCATTCCAGGGTTTTTCTTTATTTTTACTATTTTCCAGCTTCATGAGGTAAGCATTTAAATTAACAGGTGTGCCTTGTTAAAAGTTAATTGGTGGAATTTCTTTCCTTAATGCGTTTGAGCCAATCAGTTGTTTTGTGACAAGGTAGTGGTGGTATACAGAAGATAGCCCTATTTGGTAAAAGACCAAGTCCATATTATGGCAAGAACAGCTCAAATAAGCAAAGAGAAACGACAGTCCATCATTACTTTAAGACAGGAAGGTCAGTCAATCTGGAACATTTCAATAACTTTTAAAGTTTCTTAAAGTGCAGTCGCAAAAACCATCAAGCGCTATGATGAAACTGGCTCTCATGAGGACTGCCACAGGAAAGGAAGACCCAGAGTCACCTCGGCTGCAGAGGATAAGTTCAATAGAGTTAACTGCACCTCAGATTGCAGCCCAAATAAATGCTTCACAGTTCAAGTAACAGACACATCTCAACATCAACTGTTCAGAGGAGACTGCGTGAATCAGGCCTTCATGGTCGAATAGCTGCAAAGAAACCACTACTAAAGGGCACCAATAAGAAGAGACTTGCTTGGGCCAAGAAACACGAGCAATGGACATTAGACCGGTGGAAATCTGTCCATTGGTCTGATGAGTCCAAATGTGAGATTTTTGGATCCAACCACCGTGTCTTTGTGAGACACAGAGTAGATGAACGGATGATCTCCGCATGTGTGGTTCCCACCGTGAAGCATGGAGGAGGAGGTGTGATGGTGCTTTGCTGGTGAAACTGCCAGTGATTTATTTAGAATTCAAGCCACACTTAACCAGCATGGCTACCACAGCATTCTGCAGTGATACGCCATCCCATCTGGTTTGCGCTTAGTGGGACTATCATTTGTTTTTCAACAGGACAATGACCCAACACACCTCCAGGCTGTGTAAGGGCTATTTGACCAAGGAGAGTGATGGAGTGCTTCATCAGATGACCTGGCCTCCACAATCACCCGACCTCAACCCAATTGAGATGGTTTGGGATTAGTTGGACCGCAGAGTGAAGGAAAAGCAGCCAACAAGTGCTCAGCATATGTGGGAACTCCTTCAAGACTGTTGGAAAAGCATTCCAGGTGAAGCTGGTTGAGAGAATGCCAAGAGTGTGCAAAGCTGTCATCAAGGCAAAGGGTGGCTACTTTGAAGAATCTGACATCTAAAATATATTTTGATTTGTTTAACACTTTTTTGGTTACTACATAATTCCATGTGTTATATCATAGTTTTGATGTCTTCACTATTATTCTACAATGTAGAAAATATTAAAAATAAAGAAAAACCCTTGAATGAGTAGGTGTCCAAACTTCTGACTGGTACTGTACATGCAGGTTTACTTTGAAAGGTAACCACTCCCTGTTCTACCCAGGATAACTTGGTGTTGTGATTGAAGACTAACTGGCAATGTAACTCTGTAACTGGCAAATGACATGCAATAAATGTATTTAAGATAATGACCACAGTCATGGATGATCAATGGATACTACATTTGTACTTTGAACTTTCAGCATAAATTGCATGAAAGGTTTGTTATTTATTTTATTTGAATCTCATTGTGATCCAGAAATTGTTGATTACATTCGATGTGCTTACAAAGTTGAAGTAATTTAGTTGAAGTTACTTAAGTAAAATAAAAAAAATATTTTGTATTAACTGGTATTTTTGGTTAATTGCAAAGTAAAGGTATAATGACCATAACTTCGATGTAGAAATGGAAATCAAAGATTTTAGGGGCGTGGTTGAGCTTCAACAAAATCGCTGATAACTGTACAGTGCTTCACACTGTGATTCGGTCACTGTAAACACATACAGAACCGCAACTGTAAACTCAGCAAGCAAGATGTTGGTGTTTTTCGCGGTGGTCTTATCGTTGTCACTTGCGTCCGCATTTGCGGACCGAGTGCCGCGCAGTTGTGGCGCTTGCGAACCCAGCCTGTGCGACCCTCTTCCAGAGGAGGGCTGCAAGTCTGGCACGATTTTCGACTCCTGCGGTTGTTGTTCACTTTGCGCGGCTGGAGAGGGGGAGCCATGCAGGGGGCGCGGAACCACAGCCAAGCGTTGCGCCTCTGGGCTGGAGTGCGTAAAGAGCGACAAGAACAAGAAGACAAAGCTCGGCGTTTGCGCCTGCAAGACCAACTACGAAATGTGTGGCTCTGATGGAGTGACCTATAAAACTGGCTGCGACTTGAAAGTTGCCAGCCTGAAATCGGTGAGCGAGGAGAAGCCAGAAATCAAAGTCCTGAATAAAGGAAAATGCGCAACAGGTGAGAATGGGGGGACGGTAGATAACAGTAAACTTATTATTATTATAAAGAGCGCAGTAGTAGGCTAGTGGAAATTGAATTCTCGCTATTTTGGAAACATTAATATTTTATATTTTGTGTATTATGCTACAATAATTCGCATCCATCATGTCAAATACATTCTGGCCTTCTAGCCAATAGTTCACCAAGGGGCCTAAGATATTACATTTTGGTGTGACTGTTCACTCATATTGACTCATATTATCCCCTCTTCTTTATAAATAATTGAGTTGTTAAAATAAAAAACGTTTAAGATGTCTTGAGTAGGCTAATTAATTAACCATTACAATGTACAGTAAATTATGTTAATGTAAAATCACTGCTGGTATTTCATCTATTGTCAATGTTTGCCTTGCATGAACTGATTCTATATGGTATTGATTTGACTTTTGTCCAATGCACTATCAACTTACATTGTTATTGTACATCACTGCCACAATGCACTGATTTGTCTTGGGATAGACATGAGTGCTCTCTAGTTACTGGATAGAAGAACTGGCTGAGAAATATGGAAAATCTGGGGCACTGTCCACTGGGTGTGGACAAGGTTAACATCATCCTCTACCTCTATAACCCTTCCAAAACAACCAGAGTTAACTAAAGCCAGCCACTGAACAAGCTGAAAGCCATTGTCTCCACTCTGGGGTGGCACCCTCCATAGCCCTGAACAGACATGTCTGACATTTCACCATCCAAGGGAGGGATTTTACATTTTGTAAAGGAGGATGACTGTCGATCAAAAAGCAGTGCCTCGCCTACATACACACAGACAGGCCCTGTTGGTTTACAGCAAAGCCAGTTGACTTCAGTGTTTAGTTCAGTGAACCTTCACATGATTAATTATAACTGCATGCTGGTTCTGGATTAGGCAGGCGAAAGGGTTCGGGATGTGGAAAAAAACACACTGGCTGGCAAAAAAAAGTCATGCCACGCAAAAAGCCCCAGACTAATTTGCCAGTATCCAACAGGGTGAGGTTGGAGAGCAACTTTAGATGTGCCCTGCAGGCTCTCAGAGAGGTCAAAGATAGCACAACATTTACATTTCAGGCATTTAGCAGACGCTCTTATCCAGAGCGACTTACAGTTAGTGCATACATTATTTTTTTTATCATACTGGCCCCCCGTGGGAATAGAACCCACAACCCTGGCGTTGCAAACGCCATGCTCTACCAACTGAGCTACATCCTGGGCCAATTGTGCGCCGCCCCATGGGTCTCCCGGTCGCGGCCGGCTACGACAGAGCCTGGATTCGAACCAGGATCTCTAGTGGCACAGCCACTAGTGCCTTAGACCACTGCGCCACTCGGGAACGTTAGGTTCAAGTTCAAGGCCAACATTCCTCTCTCTACTCCATGTTGTTCTTGTTTTCTCAGAGTCCATTGGCTAGGCCTAGGGTTTCAGGGGAGGATTTTGTTGACCATACTTAATTGGTAACAGTAAATTTCACCAGAACTCAAAACAACAGGGGCCTCTAACTACTGTATATGAGACAGTGTTTATTTATTATAGTCATGATCATATGATATCCATTCCTTGGGTTGGAGTATAGAGCATTGAAAATACTACCTAGTCAATCTTCCATAGCCCTGTGGCATCATAATATTTTTCTAAAGAGGCCTTTACTTTGCAACACCTGTCATCCAAAGCCTAGTCGTCATAACTAAAATAACATTTCAGAAAAGCTACATTTCTGTCGACATTGTGGACCACATACAAAGTATTATGTGCCAGAAGTGTGAAGTGATGTAAATACACACATTATTTTCTTGACCCATAAAAACAACAGAAAATTATGTTTGAGCTAAGCACATTACTAGAAGTTTTGTTTATCAGATTAAATAATAAAGTTTGAATTTGTGCAACTCCGCATGAAGCCTGTTCCAATGTTTCAAAGGTAATGACAGTAATGTTCAGTGTTCATATTGAGAAACCTAACAGAGCTACTGTTTAACTAATTCTGACTGGCATGAGAAAACTAAAGCGAGAAAGTATGCTTAATATTTCACTAAATTACTCACTAACAGAATTAATTCTAAACTCCTTGATGTTGTCCATGTTACATCAACTCCATCACTTATTGTCCTGACCTTAAAAAAAGGCACATTCATTCCTTTCTGGATGGCTAAAGGGACTAGAGATGCTATCTGTTCATTTATAACACGCTCACTCATTTATATAATACGTTTATCACATATCAATCAGAACATCTCGCTACCATATTACTGCTTTGACATTTCCGACCTGTACCAGCTAGTCCCAGTGGATTACAGCAGAGCTATCTCTGATTCCGCCCGAGTTAAAGATAAGCGTTACAGGTTGATTTGAAGGAGATAATAAATCCACTCAATCATCTCATTTTTTTTCTATGTTTTCTTCTCCTCCACAGCACCTGTCATTGTGACGGCCCCTGGTGAGGTCTACAATGTCACAGGCTCCCAGGTGTACCTGAGCTGCGAGGCCATTGGAATCCCCACCCCCGTGATCACCTGGAAGAAGGTACCAGAAGGTTCAATAGAGGTCACTAGGACTTGTTCAATTCAAATCTGTATCCACACTTTTCTGAGGTGTGGTACAAAAAAATACAAATTGCTCCATGCTTTGAGAAAGCATTTCTATATGGGTATATTTTGTTTCAGAAACACTCACATATGTAGTTTAGTATGATGGTTCAAATAACTTTACATATGGTAGGTCGTTAATGTATTTTGCTATGTCTAGTTATTCATACGTCCCCTTCCACTGATTGCTGATTTGGGCTCTATATTTGAGGACACAATGGATGAAAGAGATGTGAAAATAGAGGATATGAAGCATGCTATTGTTAACCACAATAGCACAGGACATGAGGGGTTAGAGGGGAAATCCTTAATTATTATCTGATCTTTACAGTCAAGGCTTTACTTATACCCACGGTCAGCAGCTAACATTCTTAACATTCCTCAAGAAAAAAAGTAGAGGCATGAAATTCCCATTGGTTCCACAGAGACAAAAAATACTAAAGTAAATGAGGATCATTCAGAATGAGGCTGAGAAAATAAGTAGGAAAGGGAGGGGAGACAAACGGCCATGGAAAGCCAGGATGCATGAAGTCAATGTGGAGAACACAACTCATCATTCCTGGACAGACAAGGAAGTTAACCTACTGTTTGCTTACTCTCAAAATAGAGCAAGAGACCACTCTGAATAGGATTTAATATGAAAACAGATATTTAATCAAGATGAGCATCTGGAAGTTTGGTGGGTAAACCAAAACAAGTCTCCCTGCACTGAGAGAGAGAGAGAGAGAGAGCGAGATTGAATTTATATACGTTTTGATGTTGTAAGCATTGTTTTATTGATTCGATTAGCCCAAACTTCCACACTCTCAGCTAAACAGAATGTTGCTTTGTTCGAACAGTGCCCATAGATTTGACTTATTTACACTGAACAAAAATATAAACGCAACATGTAAAGTGTTGGTCCCATGTTTCATAAGCTGAAATAAAAGATCCCAGAAATGTTCCATATGTACAAAAAGCTTATGTCTCTCAAAAATGTGTTTACATCCCTGTTAGTGAGCATTTATCCTTTGCCAAGATAATCCATCCACTTGACAGGTGTGGCATATCAAGAAGCTGATTTAACAGCATGATCATTACACAGGTGCACCTTGTGCTGGGGACAATACAAGGCCACTCTAAAATGTGCAGTTTTGTCACACAACACAATGCCACAGTCTCAAGTTTTGAGGGAGCATGCAATTGGCATGCTGACTGCAGGAATGTCCACCAGAACTGTTGCCAGATAATTTAATGTTCATTTCTCTACTATAAGCCACCTCCAACGTTGTTTTAGAGAATTTGGCAGTACGTCCAACCGGCCTCACAAATGGAGTAGGAAACAGGGACACTGGACTGATGAGTGAGAGACAGAGAGAGAGAGTGAAGAGAAGAGGGTGACCAACATCTTCTACACACCAAAACAGGCCAAACTCACATGCAGCTGGTTATCACACTTCATCCAGTGAGCTAGAAGTTACAATACAACACAAGATGGATGGTTTGGACCCAATAGGTCATGTCATGTGTTTAAGGTTGCAAAGCTACCAGTAATTGACCAAAGTTACTGGAATCTTCAGTAATTTTGGTAATTAACAGAAAATCTATGGCAATCTATCGTAACTTTGTTAATTTATACTTGAATGACTTGTACAAAATGTATTTAAAAAATGTGTCCATATTGTCCATGAGTTTCTACTAGATAGACCATGTGGTTCAAGAGAAAATAGCCTAATTAATGAAAAAAGCATCTAATCAACAATTAACTCTGCAACTCTTCCAACAATTGACTTTTCTTCACAACTGCCACTAGTTTGGCGCAAAAACATTGACAAAAAATACATATTGACATAGTAAAATAAATAAAAGTCTCAAAAAAATATATAAAGGATATTTCATGCTGAAACCCTCATTAAACACCAATGGTACTCACTAAATTGATGGTTTATATTTAGGAAAATGTTTTACAGCTTTGTCAATGTATTTTGTATTTTATTTTCATCTTATTTAATTAGTTAATATATTTTACATGTGATAAGGCCACACAGAGGGTCAGAGATAATTACAGACGCCTGTGATAATCTGAAGTACTCAAAAGGGCCACTAGATGTCTTGTGATAGATGACATAAAATCCATGAAAGATACCAAAATTCTGGTGGTTTACTGGTAAACTTCGAAAGTTTCAAGTAATAAACCCTGCCTTTGCAACTCTACATGTGTTACATCCGTCTTTCCGTTTCAATACTTCCTTATGTCTCTCTGTTGTCTCTTTCTTTTGTCCTACTGATTTCCCAGATGAGCCTTTCTTTTCTTTGCTTATATCATGTGTTTTTATAGCTGTAGATGTCGGTGTCTGAGCTTAGGTCATATAAAGAGAACGTGATCTTAGATTACATGAAATAACATTTGATTTAGCCGGTTGTCTCTTGAGCTGAAGCGTTGAATGTTTTCAGTTTCACAGTTGCACAGTTGCACACACACATCATGCTTTTAATGGGTTGATTCGATTAGTTAGTTATTAAGTGAATGGTTGTTTTCCCAGGTCACCAGCGGAAAACAGAGAATGGAGCTGCTTCCAGGAGACAGAGACAACCTGGCCATTCAGACCCGTGGAGGACCTGAGAAACATGAGGTCACTGGCTGGGTCCTGGTGAGTCCAACCAGTCCACACACACACACACACACATTAACACACAGACTGTTATTATTATTATTATTATTATTATTTTTTTTTTTTTGTGGGGGGGTGGGGGGTAGATCAGCTTTAATATTGCAGCTAGATTGTGGCTTCTGTCAGTGTAATTGTCTGCATCATTTCCAATCCCCCATATGTATATATATTTGTTTTTGTAACCCTGCCACCCCTCCGCTAATTGGAGTAAACTAATGGAAAACAATACTTAGGCTTCCACTTCCAGCTTATCCATACTAAATACATTTCACGGACAGTATATTTTACATTAGTTATCTTTTGTTTGGTTTTAGTCCCAGCCTTCAGCTACCCTCAACCCCTCCCATCTATCTCTGAAGACCATCCAGTTTTTATTTCTAGCTGCCATATCTTTTTCTACTGTGCTGTGATGTTCCACAAAAGTTCTGAACCTTTCTATTCTCATAGTTTCTACAGATTGTAAATTAAAGATAAACACTTTTGCTAAGAGTATTATAGTATTATTGATCAATTGACTATGACTTTTCAAATAACCCAGCAGTGCCATTTCCAAGTAAATGTTGCAATCTTTCAGCCATTCCTGAACCTGCGACCAAAAACGAGCTACATACAGTGGGGAAAAAAGTATTTAGTCAGCCACCAATTGTGCAAGTTCTCCCACTTAAAAAGATGAGAGAGGCCTGTAATTTTCATCATAGGTACACGTCAACTATGACAGACAAAATGAGATTTTTTTTCTCCAGAAAATCACATTGTAGGATTTTTAATGAATTTATTTGCAAATTATGGTGGAAAATAAGTATTTGGTCAATAACAAAAGTTTCTCAATACTTTGTTATATACCCTTTGTTGGTAATGACACAGGTCAAACGTTTTCTGTAAGTCTTCACAAGGTTTTCACACACTGTTGCTGGTATTTTGGCCCATTCCTCCATGCAGATCTCCTCTAGAGCAGTGATGTTTTGGGGCTGTCGCTGGGCAACACAGACTTTCAACTCCCTCCAAAGATTTTCTATGGGGTTGAGATCTGGAGACTGGCTAGGCCACTCCAGGACCTTGAAATGCTTCTTACGAAGCCACTCCTTCGTTGCCCGGGCGGTGTGTTTGGGATCATTGTCATGCTGAAAGACCCAGCCACGTTTCATCTTCAATGCCCTTGCTGATGGAAGGTGGTTTTCACTCAAAATCTCACGATACATGGCCCCATTCATTCTTTCCTTTACACGGATCAGTCGTCCTGGTCCCTTTGCAGAAAAACTGCCCCAAAGCATGATGTTTCCACCCCCATGCTTCACAGTAGGTATGGTGTTCTTTGGATGCAACTCAGCATTCTTTGTCCTCCAAACACGACGAGTTGAGTTTTTACCAAAAAGTTATATTTTGGTTTCATCTGACCATATGACATTCTCCCAATCCTCTTCTGGATCATCCAAATGCACTCTAGCAAACTTCAGACGGGCCTGGACATGTACTGGCTTAAGCAGGGGGACACGTCTGGCACTGCAGGATTTGAGTCCCTGGCGGCGTAGTGTGTTACTGATGGTATGCTTTGTTACTTTGGTCCCAGCTCTCTGCAGGTCATTCACTAGGTCCCCCCGTGTGGTTCTGGGATTTTTGCACACTGTTCTTGTGATCATTTTGACCCCACGGGGTGAGATCTTGCGTGGAGCCCCAGATCGAGGGAGATTATCAGTGGTCTTGTATGTCTTCCATTTCCTACTAATTGTTCCCACCGTTGATTTCTTCAAACCAAGCTGCTTACCTATTGCAGATTCAGTCTTCCCAGCCTGGTGCAGGTCTATAATTTTGTTTCTGGTGTCCTTTGACAGCTCTTTGGTCTTGGCCATAGTGGAGTTTGGAGTGTGACTGTTTGAGGTTGTGGACAGGTGTCTTTTATACTGATAACAAGTTCAAACAGGTGCCATTAATACAGGTAACGAGTGGAGGACAGAGGAGCCTCTTAAAGAAGAAGTTACAGGTCTGTGAGAGCCAGAAATCTTGCTTGTTTGTAGGTGACCAAATACTTATTTTCCACCATAATTTGCAAATAAATTCATTAAAAATCCTACAATGTAATTTTCTGGATTATTTTCTCTCAATTTGTCTGTCATAGTCGACGTGTACCTATGATGAAAATTACAGGCCTCTCTCATCTTTTTAAGTGGGAGAACTTGCACAATTGGTGGCTGACTAAATACATTTTTTCTAATGATTCTGTCTCTTCGCAGCAAAATCTGCAGAGCTGGGATGGTTGTATCCCTCATATATGACATTCTATTGGTTGCAAGAATTTTGTATTATAATTTAAATTGAAAAACTCTAGTTTGTTCTGAATCCGGCATCGTTTTGTATATCAGTTCATAAACCATGTGCCATGCAATTGGTACATCGAAAATCTCCTTCCAACTATTTTCCAACCTGTATGGCGCATCTGTAAATGTTTTGGTCCTTAAATGAAACTGGTATACTTTATTTATCACCATTTTCTTTAGCCAATTTTGGTCTTTAATGAAGGGCCGACAGACAAGTTCCTTACCTTCTCCCCTTTCCAGTTGCCTCCTCCATTTTTGCGGTAATGCTGCAATCAGTTGGTTGTAATTTTGGATAGAGCAGACATTTCCATATATTTTTGTTAACTGCATGTGTGACATAACTCCACCAGTTCTATTTATTATATAATTTACAAAGATCATACTGTTTTTCTTTTTTTCCCCAAAAAATAATGTTTTTTTAAATCAGTTAGTATATTTGAGTTTAACCATAATATCTGTTCTAATATTTGTTCTGTCTTTCATGGTGAATTAAACTGAAATTGCAACCAGCTGTCTATTGCTTGTTTTAAAAATAGTGATATTTTGGAGATTATTTCAATTTCAAATAACCGAAAGTGAGAGGTTGTAATCTGAATGAAGGGAAAAAGGCCATTCTTGAGCTATTCTCACTAATCTACTAGAGAACCATTTCAGATTCAACTATACTTTTTTTTATGATTGAAGCCTTTAGTGAGAGGTCCAATGTTTTAATATTTAATCATTTCTGCCCTCCGAATTCATATTCATTATATAAATAGGCCCGTTTAATTTTGTCTGGCTTGCCGTTCTAAATAAAGTGGAATATTTTTTGCTCATATAATTTAAAAAACAAGTCGTTAGGTGTAGGCAGGGCCATAAGTAAATAGGTAAACTGGGATATGACTAAATCATTAATCAGGGTGATCTTTCCAGAAATAGACAGGTGTTGCCCTTTCCATGGTAGCAAAATCGTATTTAATTTGGCTAACTTTCTATTAAAATGTATTGTAGTGAGATCATTTCTTTCTTTCGGGATATGAATACCGAGTATGTCTATTTCACCATCAGACCATTTTATAGGTAAACTACACGGTAATGTAGAAGTTATATTTTTTAGCGATCCAATATGTAATATGGTGCATTTATCATAATTCGGTTTTAATCCAGAGAGGTTAGAAAAATGATCTAGATCCTCTATGAGGCTGTGGAGGGATCCAAATTGTGGATTTAAAAGAAAACAGGAAATGTCAGCGTACAGTGACACCTTTGTTTTTAAACCCTGGATTTCTAGCCCGCTGATATTATTGTTGGATCAGATTTTAATAGCTAACATTTCGATGGCCATAATAAATAGATATGCCGATAGTGGACAACCTTGTTTTACTCCTCTTGACAATTTAATACTTTCTGAGAAGTAGCCATTATTTACAATTTTACACCTGGGGTTACTATACATAACTTTAACCCATTGAATAAGAGATTCTCCAAAATTAAAATAGTCCAGTCATTTATATATAAATTCCAGTCGTACTTTATCAAAGGCCTTTTGAAGGTCAGCTATGAATACCAGGCCTGGTGTTCCAGATTTTTCATAGTGTTCTCTAGTCTTTCCAGTATTTGTCTTATATTATCTCCAATGTATCATCCATGAAAAAAACCTGTCTGATTAGGATGAATAATATCCATTTAAATTCTATGCATTTTGCTAAGATTTTGGCATCACAACACTGAAGTGTAAGGGGTCTCCAGTTCTTTTTAGATAGACTGGATCTTTATATTTACCACCTGGGTCCTGTTTCAGTAATAGTGAAATCAGACCTTGACTTGAAACACTGTTAGTACAAAGGATTTTAGCTGTCATACAGACTTGTGGGTTGTCCCACAGAAACAAATCAGTCAAATACCTCAAGGCCCACACACAGAGGTAGTAAAGGTAGAAATGAAGCATAGGATGGAAGAGTTATGTATTAGATAGCTGACATTCTATTACTTTATTTATATGAATATTATTATCTGAGGCACATTCCAAAGTTATCTATGAACGCTACTCATTGACTTATTCTTTTCAGAGCCTCTACATAACAGAGAGTTTAAGACACATGCAACTCCTTCCTCCATGTCTGAGTAAATGAACATAAAACATTGGTGGGCCCTGTTCAGTGGTTAGATCTATCTATCTCTCTCCCTCCCCCTCTTTATCTCTCAGTATTCTTCTCCCCTGCTGTCAAACATCACATTCATTCAATTTCAGAATATCTATCATCCACCATATTTTCTTCTCATTGGCCACCTTCCATGGTATGTTTGTACTTGTGATAAGTATTTAAAAACCTACACAGGTGCAAGCCGGCACTGGACAGCAGTCAGACAGCCGTAAACAATCCAGAACGCTTCTTTCTGCTTGAAATGGCACCCTTGCTCTGTCGAAATGAGCTGAGCTTGGCTGGGATGGAGAGTTTGAGGCTGTGTTTGTGTCGCCTTGAGTGTTCTAATAAAATCAGATAAGGCGATAACAGCCACCACCATGCTTTTCAGATCTCGCCGCTCACCAAGAAAGAGGCTGGCTCATATGAGTGCCACGCTGTCAACGCCAAAGGAGAGGCCTCAGCGGTGGGCACCATTCACGTGGTGGAGTCCATCGATGACATCCCTGTCAAGAAAGGTACCCAAGCGCATCCTTTTCTATTTCACTGCTATTTCTACTCTGTTTCATGTTAAATCTAGACCCACACAATATGGCACCAAAGGGCAATATCTACCACATACAAAGAGCAAATGTAGGTATTCAAAGGGCAAATCAAAGGGTGTGTATGTACAGTATGTGTGAGTTCTTTGGAATTCAGGCCCTCTAGCCTGTGGTTCCCATCCTGTCCTGACATGTTTAGGAATGCATGCTTGGCTTGGCTTGGTCCACATCACTTGGCTGCTCTCTTGACAGGGCTTGATGGTTGCCTTCGACAAGGCAGCGTGTGTTACTGGGTGTGTAACTGGTGCAAGCGTTGACAGATGCAATCATTGCACTGCCTATAAAGCTGCGCTCTAAAAAGGAATCAGGGATAGATATGTGATACAAATCTGATGGAAACCGATCAAAGTATTCAGGTCTCCCCCAGAGTCATATATAAGACTATGGTCTCCCCTATCATTGGTCATAAATAGGACCAGTTAAGGACCCTTACCCTAGAAATTCACTTGCCTCTGTAATAAATTCACTTATCCAATCTGTCATTGTGGTCTTGCCTGTGTGTCTCTTCCAGTGACCAAGGATGATGAGCTGTAAGGCGTCTCAGCACAGTAGAGCCCCAGTGGCAGCTCCTGACAGGATCAGGAGAGGAGGGAGCAGCCCCGACCATCCCACCAGGAGACCTGTACAATGACTAAGAAAGAGGACCAATGGCCACCATTAGCATCCCAGAGATCCATCAGATTTATATTTGATAACGTTGCCATTTTGTCAATATTTTTTTGTATATTTTAGTAGCCACTCTTATCCAGAGCAACTTTCAGTAGTGAGCGCATACAGTTTTTTTAAAAATCATACTGGTCCCCTATTGGATCAAACCCACAACCCTGGCTTAGTAAGTGCCATGCTCTACCAACTGAGCCACACAGGACCTGTAACAAGTCCCATTTTTCATAGTCATATTCAGTACACTGTATTGTAGATATAGCCATCCACAAGACGCACCTAGGCCTCTAGACACACACGTCATTCAGCACTAGGTGTACAAAACATTAGGAACACCTTCCTAATATTGAGTTGTATCCCCTTTTGCCCTCAGAACAGCCTCAATTCGTCAGGGCATGGACTCTGCAAGGTGTCGAATGCATTCCACAGGGATTCTGGCCCATGTTGACGCCAATGCTTCCCAAAGTTGTGTCAAGTTTGCTGGATGACCTTTGGGTGGTGGACCATTCTTGATACACATGGAAAACTGTTGAGCGTGAAAAACCCAGCGGCGTTGCAGTTCTTGACGCACTCAAACCAGTGCGCCTGGCACCTACAACCATACCCCGTTCAAAGGCACTTAAATCTTTTGTCTTGCCCTTTCACCTTGTGAATGGCACACATACACAATCCAAGTCTCAAGGCTTAAAAATCCTTCTTTAACCGGTCTCCACCCCTTCATCTACACTGATTGAAGTGGAATTAACAAGTGACTTCGATAAGGGATCATAGCTTTCACCTGGTCAGTCTGTCATGGAAAGAGCAGGTGTTCCTAATGTTTTGTACACTGTGTATGTGCACACAAATTACACGTATATGCTTCACTCCTCTTCTTTTGACGTAGTTGACTGTTTTAGTGAATTATTCCTTCCCTTTACATTTTCATTCTAGCAAAAATAATACATTGCAAGACCATCACTATTTGGCCAAGCAGGGCAAGATTAACGAACGGGCACGTGCCCCCCGACCTATTATTTTTTATTAGCATATGATAGCAAAATGTGTAGAATTGCATGAAATTAGCTTTAAAACTGCAACATTTTGTCTCAGCCTCATGGCAAAATGTGAATAAAAGCACAAGCTATAAAACAAAAAGATTCCCTTCCCTATGGCAAAAAGTGTAGAATAGCATTAGAAAATTGCAAATGTTTCTCTCTGCACAATTGCAAAATGTGTTGAAATGCAGGAAGTTAGCAGATTTCCAAAAGAATGGAGGTCGGTGCCCGGGGGCCACAAATGTGGTAGTCTGGAATGTGGCAGCAGAAACAGACACCCAGGCAAATAAATTACCTCCTGAAAAGTACACAAATCATTCTTTCCCTTGACATGGTGCTTGACAAGCCATAAAGACATGCCTTTGCAAAAGCCATTGTGTGGAGTGAGTGATCGGGAATGACAGGCAGGCAAATCAAACTCATAACACTCTTGCACTCATATAATCCCAGTACAGTACTCGCATACTATGGGTTTAGCTACCAAACGCATACTATGGGTTTAGCTACCAAACCAAACAGTGGCAGATGTCTGGGGATGTACTGTAGGGCATATTGAGCAACCAACAAGTATGAAATGGCGTAGAAAAAGGAGGATTTATGTTGGAATGTAGAGATTCACTTTCGGTGCTAAAAGTCTGCAACTCCAATGAAGAGGCCAGTGGACATTGCTTTTACCAAATGTTTCTAGTTTTTCAGACTTAAGCTCTATGTATGTATTTGCTGTATTCACTTTGTTGTATGGTATACTAACACTGGATGTTATTACTACGTGACACGTGCTGTACATCACTAATAAATAAAATTATTGACTTCAAGTTGTGGCTATTTCGATATTATATGATCAAGATTTCTGCACAGAACATTGAAGTGTGACACTATGAAAAAATACATCTCAGTTTTCCAGTTACAGAGCTAGCTAGCTACAAAACACTGAATGAAGAAATACAGTGTGACAAACACATTAAAAAACATTTATTCTAGTTTTACAAAAATAAAGACGATGTTCCTTCTTTTACAAAACGGTGATATCACAACAAATATACTTTTGCGAGACAAAAAAAGTGAGCCTGACCATTAGCATCAAAAACAAGTTGACCGTTTCATTTCGTTTTACATCAGTCTCCTGATGCTCCATCTCTCCCACTGTAGAGATAAGTGATGTCCTCGACATTCCTTCCACACATAATGTAATTCCTGTTGACTCGACAGGGCTTTGGTAGGGCTCCTAACTGGTCATCATGCGAGGGGCGATGCTCATGGACATGAGCTCCTGGAAGAGCAGTTTGCAGGCGTACGGCATTCTGACCAGGGAGATCTGACAAGAAAAAGTGGAAAAGGTACAAATATCTTAATCGATAAATCTTCATCAACAAAACTAAGGCTATAGAGGCCCAGAGTCAAAAATGTTATAGGCACATTTCACTCTACTGTATTGACATCATGGTTACAGTAATAAAGGTAGAATGGATATAAACAACATGTGAATAGGCCGACTGATAAAGAAATGTGTGAGTAAGATATGACTAAAATGTCACACCCTCAGTTAAACTAATAATGTATGACTATTAGTAGACTAGAGCTTAGAGAGTTAATCAAATGTGTTTATATAAGATGCATCTTTGCCCAGCAACAGAGTATTTGTGTCTTGTAATTAGGCAAGCAGAAGTGCAAAACGATTGAAACCAATAACAGGAGACCGGTTCCAAAAACAGATGTCCCCACACAGGGAGGGGGAGTGAAAAGGGCTAGCAGAATATTGTGAGAACAGGGATAACTATGTATGGGAATAGAGAAAAAAATGCAGCCTGCCCGAGCAAGGAGTAGACTATGATAAGAACATATGTGTGTGTGTGTGTGTGTGTGTATGTGTGACCTGATGGTCAGGAGAGCAGAGGATAACCACATGAGCTAAACCCAGGTGAGTTTACAAGATGTGTACAGAGGAAAAATACAGCCCGCCTAAAGCGGGGTGGGATTTTTCCTCTGGCGTGTGTGTATAAAAATATTGTACGTCCATTTTGTGGCAGAGCGCTCTCATGAATAAAGGCTGACCATTGCAGAAAAGGGGTCTTTGTTTAATTTATTTAAAAACTAGAGATTTACACCTCTGGGAATTATTCAAAGATTTAAGAAGTAGTTGACTTCAACCATTGAGATAACAAAATTCTTGTGACACCGACCTAAGCATAAACATGCATAACAGGGAGACTGGTGGTGGTGTTGGTCCGTACCTGTGTTTTGTTGCGACAGCCCCTGCACTCGTAGGTGTGTGTGCGGGTATTGGCGATGGCCATGAGGCCACATAGGTTGCAGACGTGGACCTGGTAGGGGTCGGACGCCTCGAACAGCCTCTCACGCAGGAACTGAGCCGCGCCGTGGGCTATCTGACAATCACGCTCCATCTCCCCAAAACGAAGACCTCCGTCACTGGGTGCCAAATGAGAGCATGGTTAGTAAAGCGGGCCAAATCAGGGCCTGTATTAACAAAGATTCTGATCTAGGATTGCATTTATTATAATCTAAAATACCTAACTGATCATAGATAAGCGCATACTTAAAGTTGGTTTATGGATACCCGCTCAGAAATGCATAACCAGTACACTCACATAGTGCCATAAAGGGAAAAAGTAATACGTTAAATAATTCTTAATGTTCTTACCGTGATCTGCCTTCCATGGGCTGTCTGTTGAGGATCTGGACTGGGCCTCGGGCCCGAGAGTGGATCTTGTCATCCACCATGTGCTTCAGGCGTTGGTAGTATGTGGGCCCGAGGAAGATCTGAGAGGTAATCTTACGGCCGGTGAAACCGTTGTACAACACCTAGAAGGGAAAGATGAGGCCAGTTAATTGTACTCTATAGACAGACTAGTGTGAAATAGCTCAGTCTGAAATAGCTACTATTGAAGTAGGTGTGAATGGTGAAGGGGGCTGATGTCCTGACCTCGTTGCCTCTCAGGTGATAGCCGTATTCAGACAGCAGGTTGGAGACTTTCTGCACATTGACCGCATCGTTGAAAGGCGTGGCGTCACCAATCTCCCCTTTGTTAGCTGAAACCTACAAAAGTGAAAGGAGGGCGGGAGGGTGAAAACATTGCTACAAGAAAACTGCCATACACAACACTTGATTTACATGATAAATGTCTAACAAATAAATGCTCTGCTTGTTTTTTATTTAACAAATTCTCACTTACCTTTAAATTAGTAAAATATCTAATCTAGATGACAGACAATCCTATTGGTTTAACATGATCAGTTTACTGTCACCTCTTAAGAGGTCTCATAAAAAGGAGTAAAAGTTGAAGTGGGTGGAAGAGTCATTAGACAGGCTACAGTACCTTGCCCTGCAGGCACTCGATCAAATGGCCGACTGTCATACGAGAGGGGATGGCGTGTGGGTTGATGATGATGTCTGGGGTAATTCCCTCGCAAGTGAAGGGCATGTCCTGCGGAAAGCATCGGAAACGATGGACATAGTTCACTTACAAAGACTTCTGTGTGAGGGTTCCAATTTTCTGAACCAGTTCTTTTAAGGCATATCCTCTTACAGGAATGTGGCACATTCTACAGAGACTTTCATGTTATATTTAAATCCGTGTTATAGTACATACTCCTTCTGGGACGTTGCTTACTTAGCATTTCCTGTGAAGAGGCCTTTGGTTGTATTTATGTTTAGGTTCAGTCTAAACACAATACGTCTCTAGACCATTGACTAGACACCATGATAAACATTGCCTGGCTCAATGATACTGTGTAGTCTAGTTAAGAGTGAGTAGTTCTATAGACGAGGCATGAGGAACATATGTCTAATACTTCACCTCCTGTCTGTACTGAATACCACAGGTACCCTTCTGCCCGTGTCGACTGGCAAACTTGTCACCGATCTGGGGGATACGAACAGAGCGAACCTGCAACAAAAAACAAATGGAGTTTGAGTTAAGTCATGCCACAAGTAGGCCGATGAGTGTAAAGTGTAAGGAGGCTTCATAACCTTATAGCCCAAGGTTAGAGGGTGCAATATTCCATGTTTCATTTAGTCAATCTGTCAACTCTCATTCAGCTTGTTTGTCTTGTTGCTTCTATGGAAGCAATGCTGCTTGTAACTCAAGGATAATTCAAACCTGCCACTACTGTGGATGTAATTCCTGCCTACCCAAAACTTGACAATTGAGAGAGAAGTAGAGCTTTCAACAGGGGTAATTTGTTACCATTTGTTTGTTTTACATTTTTACAGCCTACTAGTGTGTTGTCAACTTGTCACAATATGCCTACTGGGGAAATCTAGAGGACTCTGGACAAACCCTGATCTTGCAGAACTTGTAGCCCTCCTGGTTGAGGGTGACCATGACTTGGTCCACGATACCCGTCTCGCTGGTGCGGAGGAAGGTGCTGCAGTCCCTCTTGGTGTATCGGCGATTGGTGCTGTCCAGCTCGTCGTCGATCTCCGGCAGGGTCACCGTCTTGCCAATGATGACGTCCTCGCCCGAGACACGCACACCGGGAGCTATCAAGCCGTCGTCATCCAGCTTGTCGTAAATGGCGTGCCTCATGCCTGGGGGAGGGGAGGAGCATTGGGTTGTTCAATGAGCAATTCTCTTTGTATGAATGCCAATTTAAGAGACGTTGCTGATGGAAAATGTATGAGATGATGGAAATAGTAGGCTCAGATTTTCTGGCCGACTCCTTTACATTTCTAGATGCCAAGGACGTACCCGAACAAGTTTCGCGTGTAGGTTTTTCAAAGATTTCCTCCTGATCGAAGCCTTTCTTTGACTCCTGTTCTTTGTAGGAGCGGTAGAACACAGACCTGAAATAAAAACACTTATTTACACCATCGTCTTAAGTCATTTTCACAGCAAATTTCAGTCTTCAAATCACAGCACAAACCTGAAGAATCCACGGTCCACCGCAGAGCGGTTCATGATGACAGAGTCCTCCTGGTTGTAGCCAGTGTACGCCGCAATAGCCACAATCGAGTTGATACCTAAACCAGGCACAAATGGAGGATTTCAACGAGCCAGAAATAGAACTCTTTAGGTCAGAGTTAAAGAGTGTTATTGGCTGCCAATTCTGCAGTCCTCCAGTTCTCACCTGCAGGGAGCTCTCTGAAACGCAGGTACTCCATAGAGCGGGTGGTGACTAAGGGTTTTTGGGGGTAGTAGAGCACGTGGGCCAGGGTGTCCATCCGCACGTGGAAGTTGGTAATGTACACACCCATGGCTTGTTTACCCATAGCAGACTGGTATGTGTTTCTGGGCGACTACACGGGAAAAGGTGGGGAGAAATGTATTCATTGATTTACAGTTCAAATATAGATATATAAATGAGCAATCCCAAGGCTGATAAAAAAATCTTAATTTAGGATGTTTTATATCCACGTCTTAGCATAGGTATTAACGGTCTCTTGCCATTGCACCTATTCAAATCAGCCCAATAAGAAAACATATTTTAGGAGCATGATATTTTTTAGCTGTACCTGGTTGTGATCGGGGAAGGGGATGATGGATGCACAGACTCCCAGGATCATGGAGGGGTGGATCTCACAGTGGCTGTATGTAGAACAGTAGGCCACGCCCTTCTCCTGGAGGTCGTCAGGGGTCATGGCCAGCATCACAGTCTCCTCCTCCAGGGTGTCGATGTACTCCACCACGCCGCTGGCCACCAGGTCCTGCCAACTGTAGTTGTTGTACTCCCTCTCCTTCAGCTGGTCAATGTGTCTCCTCTTCAGCAGCAGCTTCTGTTTCTCTACGATCAGCAGAGGACGACAGATCCTCCCTGCGTCTGTGTAGATGCGGATCTCCCTCTCTCGGATGTCTCTGATCATGGACACCTAGAAAGGGGTAAAAATGTATGACAACATAGAAAATCTGAAAAGGGGATATTGGGTTTTTATGTGTAGGTTAATTGAATTGAATAATAATAATAAAATAATGAAAATGTCAGAAAAGTGGAAATTCCTGAAAATCTGGAAAAATCATATCCCTTACCTCAGACACAATGATGTCCATCTGCCTCCTCAGTTTCCTCAGTGTGTTCATCAGCTGCTCTGGGTCCTTGTGTATGCCCACCCAACAGCCATTGACAAAGATCTTTGTGGCACTGTTAAGGTAGAATTAATGAAGGAAAACGTCAATTAAAATGCAGATAAAATGGGTTGACAAACTTTTCAGAGACATGAAAGACAGAATGTTTTTGATATTTTCTGGATTAATAAAGAGCAATGCGCTGCCATCTGCTGGACTCACTCCGCGATGGCTGCCGGTGAGATCTCCTCCAGGTTCTCCATGCTCCACTCCTCCAAGAACTCCAGGATGGGAGAGGGCTGGGAGCCCACAGAGATGTAGGCCATGAGGGCCAGGTTCTTCACTAGGCCTACAGCATGACCCTGGGAAATAGACAGGGAGGGGACATAAAATGGGAGACAAAATAAACGGGGACAACACTTTCAATGTCAATTGTAAGTGAGAGCTTAGCTCCTTGCGGGTAACAATACCATTTGTCATCATACAACAACTTCCCCCTTGATAATGAACATAAATGTGATTTGGAGTGGTATTGGGTGTACCTCTGGAGTCTCAGCAGGACACACCATGCCCCACAGCGTGTTGTGAAGCTGCCTGGGCTTGGCCAGCTTGCCATCCCTACCGATGGGGGAGTTCACACGACGAAGGTGAGAGAGGGTGGAGGCGAAGGTTAAGCGGTTCAACACCTACAAACAGACGAGGTATGTTCTCGTTTTTAATGGCGATAAACAATCATCTTGTAGCAGCATAATGGCAAACTAAGCCTAAACTATATAGGGATGTGTACGAGATGTCTTCTGCCCTGTGTTACCTGGGACACTCCAGCTCTGGCCTGATGGGCCTTCTTGACGTCACCCCAGTTCCCCGTGGCCAGAGAGTACTTCAGGCCGTCGGAGATGATTCGTGTCTTGATGGCCAACTCCAGGTTGAAGTCTTTCCCTCTGTCAATAAACTTCTGGGCGTAGATGCGGATCTCTTTCAGTAGGTTCTTAAACATTCTAAATGCATCCAAACAAATGAAAATGAGCTTGATTAAAGTTCCAGCCTTGGTATCCCATTGACTTCATACATATTCACCAAATGCTCCGTTTGAATAGGAATGCGGTTAGCACAAAGTAGCACTACATCTGTGAATTAAAGCTTTCTAGATTATTTTATAGATGGTGTTCCTTTAGGACTTACCCACGGAACAGGAAAGCCAACAGTGGCCCAGCCAGGTCCAGTCTCTTGTTGCCGTAGTGATCCCGGTCATCCAGCTCTCTTCTGCCCAGGGCCGCTAATAGGAGTCTGTGGACCATGTACCTGCAAACAGACACCGATACACAACTCTGAGTTACATCAATACATCAAACAACAACATATTGCATAAAGACCAATCAGTAACATCATGCATTCATAACCATAGAATTACATATAGAATCTCCAACAGAGACCTGGTGAGTTATAAGATCTCTATGGCAGTGGTTTCAACCTGTGGTCAGCAAAGTTTGTAATAAAAAAAAAAAAATATATATATATATGGCATTATTAATGATGTTATATACAATTTTACATTACTTTTCACAATGCAAATTGTTTAACAGACATCCATCTGTAATAATAGGCATTTAATATGTTCCATTCACTGATAAAATTACTCTAAATGTGACCGCTAAGGGGGAGGTGGGGGGGGGGCTGGTCCAACTCAAGGTGTCGTAAAAACATTTAAAAAATGCACCCCCTCCCCAACTTTAAAAAATATTTTCACGTGACACTCCCCTTGTACTATAAAATAAATGTAACACCTTCCCCCTCATAGAGCTAACTCAAAATAATGTTTAAGACCATAAATACCAATAACTGTAGCAACCCTGTGTCTATAAACGTGGATATCAACTTTGCCACTTCAGCATGCTTTTGTGGCAGTTAGATGCCATGCAGGGCTGCTGGCCAGAAGGTTTGCCGACCACCACAGATGAGCTCACTCTCCCTGCCTGTTTCATTGATGGTTTTGCGACTGCACTTGAAGAAACTTTCAAAGATCTTGACATTTTCCGGATTGACTGACCTTCATGTCTTAAAGTAATGATGGACTGTCGTTTCTCTTTACTTATTTGAGCTGTTCTTGCCATAATATGGACTTGGTCTTTTACCAAATAGGGCTATCTTCTGTATACAACCCATACCTTGTCACAACACAACTGATTGGCTCAAACGCATTAAGAAGGAAAGAAATTCCACAAATTAACTTTTAACAAGGCACACCTGTTAATTGAAATGCATTCCAGGTGACTACCTCATGAAGCTGGTGGAGAGAATGCCAAGAGTGTGCAAAGCTGTCATCAAGGCAAAGGGTGGCTATTTGAAGAATCTCAAATATAAAACATATTTTGATTTGTTTAACACTTTTTTGGTTACTACATGATTTCATGTGTTATGTCATAGTTTTGATGTCTTCACAATTATTCTACAATGTAAAAATTTGTAAAAATAAAGAAAAACCCTTGAATGAGTAGGTGTGTCCAAACTTTTGACTGGTACTGTATATATACAGTTGAAGTCGGAAGTTTACATACACCTTAGCCAAATACATCTAAACTCAGTTTTTCACAATTCCTGACATTTAATCCTAGTAGAAATTACACGTCTTAGGTCAGTTACGATCACCACTTTATTTTAAGAATGTGAAATGTCAGAATAATAGTAGAGAGAATGATTTATTTCAGCTTTTATTTTTTTCATCACATTCCCAGTGGGTCAGAAGTTTACATACACTCAATTAGTATTTGGTAGCATTGCCTTTAAATTGTTTAACTTGGGTCAAACGTTTCGGGTAGCCTTCCACAAGCTTCCCACAATAAGTTGGGTGCATTTTGGCCCATTCCTCCTGACAGAGCTGGTGTAACTGAGTCAGGTTTGTAGGCCTCCTTGCTTGCACACGCTTCTTCAGTTCTGCCCACACATTTTCTATAGGATTGAGGTCAGGGCTTTGTGATGGCCACTCCAATACCTTGACTTTGTTGTCCTTAAGCCATTTTGCCACAACTTTAGAAGTATGCTTGGGGTCATTGGCCATTTGGAAGACCCATTTGCGACCAAACTTCCTGACTGATGTCTTGAGATGTTGCTTCAATATAGCCACATAATTTTCCTTCCTCATGATGCCATCTATTTTGTGAAGTGCACCAGTCCCTCCTGCAGCAAAGCACCCCCACAGCATGATGCTGCCACCCCCATGCTTCACGGTTAGGATGGTGTTCTTCGGCTTGCAAGCTCCCCCCTTTTCCTCCAAACATAACGATGGTCATTATGGCCAAACAGTTCTATATTTGTTTCATCAGACCAGAGGACATTTCTCCAAAAAGTACGATCTTTGTCCCCATGTGCAGTTGCAAACCGTAGTCTGGCTTTTTTATGGCGGTTTTGGAGCAGTGGCTTCTTCCTTGCTGAGTGGCCTTTCAGGTTATGTCGATATAGGACTAGTTTTACTGTGGATATAGATAATTTTGTACCCGTTTCCTCCAGCATCTTCACAAGGTCCTTTGCTGTTGTTCTGGGATTGATTTGCACTTTTCGCACCAAAGTACGTTCATCTCTAGGAGGAAGAACGCGTCTCCTTCCTGAGCGGTATGACGGCTGCGTGGTTCCATGGTGTTTATACTTGCCTACTATTGTTTGTACAGATGAACGTGGTACCTTCAGGCGTTTGGAAATTGCTCCCAAGGATGAACCAGACTTGTGGAGGTCTACAATGTATTTTCTGAGGTCTTGGCTGATTTCCCTATGATGTCATGCGAAGAGGCACTGAGTTTGAAGGTATGCCTTGAAATACATCCCCAGGTACACCTACAATTGACTCAAATTATGTCAATTAGCCTATCAGAAGCTTCTAAAGCTATGACATCATTTACTGGAATTTTCCAAGCTGTTTAAAGGCACAGTCAATTTAGTGTATGTAAACTTCTGACCCACTGGAGTTGTGATACAGTGAATTATAAGTGAAATAATCTGTCTGTAAACAATTGTTGGAAAAAGCACACAGCCAAGACAACGCAGGAGTGGCTTCGGGACAAGTTTTTGAATGTCATTGAGTGGCCCTGCCAGAGCAGCTATGTTCCCCACCCAACCTGGCAGAGCTTGAGAGGATCTGCAGAGAAGAATGGTAGAAACTCCAAATACAGGTGTGCCAAGCTTGTAGCGTCATACCCAAGAAGACTTGAGGCTGTAATCACTGCCAAAGGTGCTTCAACAAAGTAGTGAGTAAAGGGTCTGAATACTTATGTAAATATAATATTTCATTTTTTTGTTGTTGATACATTTGTAAAAATGTATAAAAACCTGTTTTTGCTTTGTCATTATGGGTAGTGTGTGTAGATTGATGAGGGGGGGGAAAAACAATAATCAATTTTAGAATAAGGCTTTAACTTAATAATGTGGAAAAAGTCAAGGGGTCTGAATACTTTCCGAATGCACTGTATGTCCTAGCCTAATTATTTCAGGTAATAATTTCTGGTAATAAATTATATTATTAGCCTTATATTTAGCTAATGAATGATGGGCTATAAATTAGCTTCTAACTTATAGCCTCTGTCTCTTGCGCAACACGCACCATGCGCTCTGCTTGGCCTCTCTCTTTTTAAAAAACGCTACTTAGCTCTTGGAGTCCCAGGAAAAGCTGGAAGAATTTATTTTTAGCGTTTCTTATACTAATAGACTATTGGAAGAGGGATTCAAGTTCTTGCTTGCTGAATGTTAAATACAGCAGCCAATAGAACTCATGGCCACGGCCGGGAAGTTTGAAAGAGAGAATGCGGGATGGTGGTAGGCTATAGCAGTTATTTGTTCAGAAGCCTAACCATTCAATCTTCATGAAGAGAAAGCCATCTGCATCTTATTCTAGTCTTATATTATTCAAGCATGTCATTACAATGATGAAGATCAGGACAACGAAACATTGCATTTAACTGTTGAAAGCGAGGAAGGAATGAAGCAACAATAGAGAAATGGAAGGTAGGCTAATACGCACATTGCACAACAGTAGGGGAAATATTATGTAAGGTATGCATGCATCAGCCTACTAATTATACAAATCTAATAGGGCCTATTATATTTCAAAATTAAAATTGAATTCGCTAGCCTATAATTGTAACTTTGTAGGCTGCATGTCCTGCACCAGCCACAAGTCCATATAAAACAGTATAATGGAATACAATAATACATTCCACACTTAAAAAGAGTAGTTTATTAGGAGCTTGTTTCATTTACTTACCCAAGAGAGCGTAACTACATTTATGGGCTTTTATGTGTTTCTGTCATGGGTAATGTGCAGTAGCCTATCATAGGCTATGTATTGGTCAAATAAAAATAAATGATATCGGCACAATCATTTGGGCTTTTTTGGGCTTGAGCTCATAACTATTCTTTAATGTATGGCTCATCAGGCTCAGGTAGCATCAGACTTGAATTTTCATGCCGGTTGGGGAGAAAAGTGAATATTCTGGGGTTGGAACATTAGTAAAATACAGGGGACACATTCAACCCTAATCTGTAGCTTATTCTTTAGATGTTTGGGGCTGCTGGTGAACCATGATGTGCAGGCATAATCAAAGTAACACTGGACTAGCCCACTTGTCACAGTCTTTAGGGTGTCTGTAGCTAGGTTTCCATCCAACTGGCGACAGATTTTCATGCGAACATTCTAAAATCTGCATATAAACAATGAGCATTTCGGGATTTCCTTCATGAAAATTTGGCGCCGGACAGCATGACTGGGAAGTTTTAAGTCCCAAAATTGCATCCTGCCTGAATAGGGAGTTGCACAGTAGGCCAAACCGTGCCAACATTTTTTCTTCCACTACAATATTAAAACATTAAATTCCCCTTGTAGGCTTTTCACTATAGGCATACTCTTTTTCCTCTAACTTTAGTTTTACGTCAATAAAACATTATTCCATCTTCACAATCAACAGTGGCCTAGGCCAAGGCTCCTCCCTCTCACTCGCTTCTAAGCAGCAGGCTCACCTGCTTGTAAGGCATAAGAGAATGGTGCTGAAGCGCACATTCGGGGTGTAGGCTATGATAGACAGTCTCTCCTGGACAATTTGACTTGCTACAATTTTATTTATTGGCTATTCATTTTTTTTTATTGTCCAAAGGCCGCAATTAGCCTACCGACTAAGGGAAACCCTTGTGCATTTTCCCATCAGAGTTGCGTTTCCATCTAATTGCAGATAAAAGTCTGTGTAAATACGTAGTGCACATAAAAATTACTTTTGGAGGTTAAATTCCCATGTACCGAATAAAAAAATACAAGTTAGATGATTTCCATGGCATTTTCAACTCTAGGCCTACTGATGGTTTCGTCACAAAAAATGTTGAGTAGGTATAGCAGTGTGCCCACTCTGGTATTGGCATGTGCACTCTAGCCAACAGCTTGCAGATACAGTGCAGTTATAGCCTACTACATGATGAGATTATTATGGACATAAATGCGAGATTATTTCCATTTGTCAAATGGCAGCCAAGCGTCGATCAAGTCACCAGAATAAGACCCTCCATATTTATTGAAAGGAGAATCAACCTCATCACTGTGCACATTCACCACCCTGTGAAGTTTATCATAACTTATTTCATCTGCAGCCTAATAAACTGCATGCCCTATGATGTCATGACATTTGTTATCCAACATGTAGGCTACTTTACTGCATAAAAAGGTTGGAGGGAAACCTGGTTAATGTCAAGACATTTTGAGGATGCTGGAATTATATTTTGAAGTAGCCTAATCAGATTAAAACATTGTGACTGGTTGTGTTTATGACACATATAAAAAGGTAACACATTTTAGAAGTTAAATGATAAATATTTAGGCTATATTGAAGCATTAGGTTCTAGGTGCGCGAGGAATAGCCACTAGGATTGTAGAGGCAGAGCATGTGTTAAGCTGTCCTGAATAACTAGGCCTGCCTGGAACATATGTGGACACATTATTATAGGACGACTTGGGAGAATGACAGCGCATTCAATATCAGAAGTAAAAATACAGCAAATACACTGCTCTTTCATGCGCAATGATGCACCTGGCCTGTCCGCTGCCTATCAGCTATTCTTATTTGTTGTTGTGGATTCATATTTAACATTGATGCAGCTTTGAATGCTTTTATATGTGGTATAATTAAGCAATAAGGCCCGGCGCAACGCTTAGCCGTGGTATATTGGCCATATATCACAAACCCCTGAGGTGCCTTTTGCTATTATAAACTGGTTACCAGCATAATTAGAGCAGTAAAAATAAATGTTTTTTCATACCCATTGTATACGGTCTGATATACCACGTCTTTCAGCCAATCAGCATTCAGGGCTCGAACCACCCAGTTTATAATTGCTAGTTAGCCTTTTGCAGATCTGGATAAATGATCCACCTCCCACTAATGTCACTATAAATGGTGGATAGAGGGCAGTATAGACCGTTAGACTGGTAGACTATATTGACCTGTGGTACAGTACAAGTTAGCGCATGGAAAAGTGTAGTACATAAGGGAAGTACCAAAACACCTCCCCAAAGCAACAAAAAAAAGTTAGACAAGCCTCCCCCCAGTAAATTGGCCCTAAGTTTTGGAAAACAATTCTGCCACTTCCGCGAATGATTGTCCTCAAGAGCTTATTGCAGTGATTTGGTGGTCCTCGGTAAGGAAAAGACTAGGAACTCCTGCTCTATGGTCATTACATTAATATAACATTATAAATACTCACCCTAAGAAATAGGCCTTCTTGGTCTCACAGAAGTCACTGACGCCGACGTGGGGCAGCACCTCCTTCTGCAGCACCTCCTTGGCGTACTTGATCCTCCTCTCCTTGGTGACACCAGGCTTGGCACCACGAGAGCCGATGAAGTTCAGCGCCACGTTCTGTTCCTGGATCACAAAGGCCTCGTCCAGGGATGGCTTGACCTGGTGGAGCACAGCACGTCAGATAGGAAGTGTGTGTGTGTGTGTAGTGTTTCCTGTATCTAGAACATCCTAAGAGATTTACCATCTCCATCATCTCAGGGTCGTCAAAGTCGTAGATGATGTGCTCCAGGATGTCTCTGTCGGACACAAAGCCCAGGGCTCGGAACACTATGATGATGGGCACCTCCTGTCTGATGTAGGGCAGAGTGGACACGATCCTCTGACCAATGGCACTTTTCTTCACCCCCTGAGAGAAAAAGAAACAAAACAAATGTTGACATGTAAATATATGGGATGGTAGCAAATTTGCAAAACAAGTTTTGGACAAGGTATATTTGTGTTCAAGGTTGTTTGTTTCTCACCTGTCCTCCCCTGGCCATCATGCTGACCCAGATGGAGCTGGTGGGGCGCGAGGAGTTCTCCAGGCAGGAGCGGCATTCCCCTGTGTACGCATACTTTGAGTCCTTCTTAGCGAAGACGTACACTGTGTTCGTGGCCATCTTCTCCTGGGCGATCAGGACCTGCAAACCAAACAAGGCAATTGTTATCAATAGCTCAATTGCAAAAGCTTGTGTTACTGCTCATTCATTGAAACCAGGGTTGGCTAGGTTCCTTTCTAAATGTAATCCGTTACAGTTACTAGTTACCTGTCCAAGATTGTAATCAGTAACGTAACTTTTGGATTACCCAAACTCAGTAACTTAATCTGATTACTTTCAGTTACTTTTAGATGACTTCCCCCTTAAGAGGAAGACAAAAATGAATATTACCAATTGAACGACATCTATTGCAGGATAAATCAATGTTAGAGTTTACATAGCTGGCCAAAAATAGGATGTTGCATTTTCCTTTATGGGATGGTTATGTAGGCTTCTTCTAACCCATTGTTTGCTACTACAGATAATAATACGAATAGGCTATATCTTTACATTAAAAACCAAAGTCTGGGGGCCTCCCGAGTGGTGCAGCGGTCTAAGGCACTGCATCAATCCCGGGCTGTATCACAACCAGCCGTGATTGGGAGTCCCATAGAGTGGCGCACAATTGGCCCAGCGTCGTCCGGGTTAGGGGAGGATTTGGCCGGGGGGAGCTTTACTTGGCTCATCGCGCTCTAGCAACCCCTTATGGCGGGCCGGGGGCCTGCAGGCTGACCTCGGTCATCAGGTGAACGGTGTTTCCTCCGACACATTGGTGCGGCTGGCTTCCGGGTTAAACGGGCGGGTGTTAAGAAGCGCGGTGTGGCTGGTCATGTTTCGGAGGACGCATGCCTCGACCTTCGCCTCCCGAGCCTGTTGGGGAGTTGCAGTGATGAGACAAGATCGAAATTTGGGACCCATTGATCTTCAAGAATAGGATTTGGAAATATAGATTAGGCAAATTGTTTAACCTGAGCATAACCCCAAAACTAAGGACTTATTAGCCTACTCTACAACTGATTTTGTTGTTAATCGCCGTAGGCTACACCACTGCTGTCGTCCTTACCTCCAAGCGTTTATTCAAAATGGATAATCTTTGGATTGCCGACAGCAGTAGCACCATTTGAAGACATACAGTGCCTTCAGAAAGTATTCATACCCCTCAACTTATTCCACATTGTTGTGCCTTAATTCAACATGGATTAAATAGATCTCTCACCCATCTACACACCATAATGACAATGTGAAAACATGTTGTTTTTAGAAATCTTTGCACAATTATTGAAAATGAAATACAGAAATATCTAATTTACGTTAGAATCACCTTTGGCAGCGATTACAGCTGTGAGTCTTTCTGGGTAAGTCTCTAAGAGCTTTGCACACCTGGATTGTACAATATTTGCACATTATAATTATTTTAATTCTTCAAGCTCTGTCAAGTTGGTTGTTGATCATTGCTAGACAGCCATTTTCAAGTCTTGCCATAGATTTTCAAGCCAGTTTAAGTCCAAACTATAACTAGGCCACTCAAGACCATTCAAAGTAATCTTGGTAAGCAATTCCAGAGTATATTTGGCCTAGTATATTGGTTATTGTCCTGCTGAAGGGTGAATTTGTCTCCCAGTGTCTGTTGGAAAGCAGACAACCAGAATTTGCCTGTGCTTAGCTCTATTCCGTATTTATTTTTTTACTCCCTAGTCATTGCCGATTACAAGCATACCCCAGTCATTGCCGATTACAAGCATACCCTAGTCATTGCCGATTACCAACATACCCCAGTCATTGCCGATTACCAACATACCCCAGTCAATGCCGATTACAAACATACCCCATGACAAGCATACCCTTGCCGATGACAAGCAACATGATGCAGCCACCACCATATTTGAAAATATGAAGAGTGGTACTCCGTGATGTGTTGTGTTGTATTTGCCCCAAACATAACACGTTGTATTCAGGATATAAGGTTAATTTCTTTCCCATTTTTTTTGCAGATTTACTTTAGTGCCTTATTGCAAACAGGAAGCATGTTTTGGAATATTTGTATTTTGTACAGACTTCCTTCTTTTCACTCTGTCAATTAGGTTAGTATTGTAGAGTAACTATAATGTTGTTGATCCATCCTCACTTTTCCCCTATTACAGCCATTAAACTCTAACTGTTTTAAAGTCACCATTGGCCTCATGGTGAAATCCCTGAGCAGTTTCCTTCCTCTCCAGCAATTGTGTTAAAAGGGACTCCTGTATCTTTGCAGTGACTGGGTGTATTGATACACCTTCCAAAGCATAATAAATAACTTCACCATACTCAAAGGGATATTGAATGTCTGCTTTCTTTTTTATCTACCAATAGGTGCCATTCTTAGCGAGGCATTGGAAAACCTTCCTGGTCTTTGTGTTTGAAATTCACTGCTCGACTTACAGATAATTGTATGTGTGGGGTACAGAGATGAAGTAAATCATGTTAAACACTACTATTGCACACAGAGTGTGTCCATGCAACTTATGCACATGTTTTGTCCTGAACTTATTTAGGCTAGCCATAACAAAGGGGTTGAATCCTTATTGACTCAAGACATTTCAGCTTCATTTTTAATTAATTTGTAAACATTTCTAAAATCATAATTCCACTTTGACATTATGGGGTATTGTGTGTAGGCCAGTGACACAAAATTTCAATTTAATCAATTTTAAATTCAGGCTGTAACACAACAAAATGTGGAAAAAGTCAAGGGGCATGAATACTTTCTGAAGGCACTGTAGCTTGGATTGTAGCTTACAAAAGCCTATTCTTGCTCTTTTCCTGCGATCCTTCAAAACGCAGTTGGTGTGTCATCATAGACTTGTGGTCAGACTCGCTCAGGCGGAACAAACCTAAACTTGCACCTTTTTTCAATGCTGATTTGAATGGCATTGATAAAACATGAAGGTGTCAAACATTTTTTACGCAAACATCCTTTCTGAATTACTAAATGTAATCCTAGACGGAATCTAGTTATTTTTTTAAGTATCTGTCATCTGATTACAATATTTTTGCTGGTAACATAACAGATTACAGTTCAAGTTTTTTCGCAATATGTTACTCCCCAACCCTGATTGAAACAGAATCAAGACCAGATATCTGCCCTGAAGTCCACCCTCCACTTTCTCTCTCCTTTTACCTTCTCTGACCCGTTGATGATGAAGTAGCCCCCGGGGTCCAGCGGGCACTCGTTGAGCTCACACAGATCACGGTCTGTCAGGCCGCTGAGCAGGCAGTAGGTGGAGCGCAGCATGATCGGGATCTTGCCGATGAAGGTCTTCTGGTGCTGGGTCTGCAGCTGGTCCTCACCCTCCTTGATGATGGTCTTGGTGATGTCCACGTACAGGGGAGCAGAGTACCTGTATAATACAGATGTGGGCCTAGTTGGCACTGGCAGCACTGAAGGTTGCAAATGATGTGCAAGGGAGAATTATCATGATAAAAGTATGGCTCCAAATGAGCAAACTTACGTAAGGTTCCGGAGTCTGGCCTCGTTGGGCATCATAGGCGAGGGGGCTCCATCTCTTTCCCAGTGAGTGGGTTTGGAAAGGTAGATCTGCTCAAACTTCAGCAAGTAGCGTGGCTGTAGAGCAACATAAAGGGAGCGTTAACAGGGCAATAGTAAGTGCCCTCGTAGAGAGAGGCCCTACATGGAGCTGAATATCTGAAAGTGCCCGTCTGTCACTCACCGGATCCTCCACCTCTCCAGAGGTGTGCTGGGCCTCAGCCTGCAGGTCGATGGGCGGGGCATCCTCCACGATCCTCTGCACGGACATCTGGATGAACTCGTCAAAGGAGTCCAGCTGCTGTCGCACCAGGCCCTTCTCATCAAAGTAGGAACTGTAAGGCGCATCAGAGAGGATAGTGTTATTTGAACATAAGCAAGCTGCATAGTGTATGTTACATGAGGATAAAAAAATAGGAGAGATAGGTAAGAAGAGCATAATTTTACCTGATAACAATCCAGCAAGCTTCCTGCCATAAATCGGGGGTGATTTCATCCTCATCCTCATCGTATTGGATATCTGCAAGAGATCACAGAAAATACATCAACAAAGTGAATGCAGACGCAGTGATATAACATTAGCCAAGGCCCCAGCTAGTTCATGGAGTTTACTACATTCAACAACTGATTGACACAAAGAAAGGTATTTTAGCTCTGCAGATCTCAAAGATAGCTAACTTAGTTTTTTTCAACATGGCATGATGTGATGTTCATATAGGTAGGCCTAGTTGAAAGTGTGATATAGTTAGGTGTTTAGTCTGGTGAAACCATTTTTGGTATGTAACGTTAACTAGCCAATTAGTTAACCTTGCAAGCTACATAGCGCTAGTATGCTTGCTAGCTACTGTACCTATCTATTATTGGTGATGCGCATATTAGCCTATATGCTAACTAGCTTGCTAGCAGCAAGCTAGCAAATGGCTGAAATAACAACAAACCTTCATCTTGGTCATACATGGTTACTGCTTACTCCCTCTCGTGTTCGCCTAAATAAGCAGAACCCGACTTTTAAATCATCAACAGTGTCTGATTCAACGCTGTCTAACGTTGCACACTTTGCTAAATTAACACAAAAAGATATCGATGGTCAAGCCTAAACGTCACTTCCTATACCAACTTTATTATTTTAATGTGCAAGAAATTAATCTTAACTAAATATGTTTACTACTCTGCTCTAATATTAACTATTATAATCAATGTTTTTCTAACAAACAATATGTTTTATTATATTAGATATCGAATCTTAATAGTTGTAAATGTAAATAAATGGCATTTCCGGAGACGTAAGTTCCTGTCAGGATATGAATGGTTTCTAGCCGCAGCAACTCACATGCGTTTTTATTCAAGGTTATGTAATCACACTGTGATTTCTAATGTATGATTCAATTGTATTCGTTTGTAAAGATGTATAAATTGTTGCAAGTCCCGTTACGTGAACTTGTTACTTGTAAATGTTCTCGACATCTATCAGTTCCATGTCTATCTGTAAAGCATAGGATCTCATCACCTCCTCTACCAAGGCAGTATACTTCTGCACTTTCTTTTGTATTGAATAACACATGGATGACCAGGTTTTACAGCACTGCAAGAGGAGCAAGCGGTGAAACTCAAGAGCTGGGTAAAAATGTCAAAATTCAGGGGACATACACCTCCATAGAGCCAGAAAAAGAGGAGGAATTTGTTTTCCTGGACTACATTGAACCAGAAGATAGTCACATTGACCAACTTCATGGTCAGCTCCATGTGAACTCTGTCTCCATGATTTCCAAAGAAGACAAGAGGTTGCCACCGAGGTCAGGCTCCGAGAAGCAGCAGAGGACTCTGGAGCAACAGCTGCAGTCATTGAAAGATGGGACCGTCAACAAAGTGGAGACTGCGAGCCTTGATTCTCTCATCGAGTTTCATGATGTAGGGTTCCCTCTCGAGGAAACAAGCAAGAAGAAGAAAAAGAAACTTAAAGGACAGCAGAAAATCTATGGTACACCAGATATGGAGGAACCTGTCAGTGACACCTGTTGCAACGGATGTGGCGCAGTCATGCACTGCACTGCCCCTGATGTGGCAGGCTATCTTCCAAGTGAAAAGTATAAACTTTTGCTAGAGGAAGACGAATTGAAAAAGGCAATTTGTCAACGTTGCTACTTGCTCACACACCACCAAAAGGCATTGACTATCAAGATGTCCAAGGAGGAATATCGGGATATAGTCCGCAGGGTCAAATCAGAGAAAGCATTGGTACTGTTGATCGTGGATCTCCTGGACATCCCAGACTCCATAGTACCAGACTTGCTAGAGCTTGTTGGAGAAAACAAACACATAGTGGTTCTGGGTAATAAAGTGGACTTGCTCCCTGGAGACTCTGAAAACTACTTGCAAAGGATTAAACGTCAGCTTTCCATGTACTGTGCTGATGTAGGCATTTCCAGTGATAATATCAAAGATACCCACCTCATCAGTGCCAAAACGGGATACGGAATAGAAAATCTCATCTCAAGTCTTCAGAGATCGTGGAAGTACAAGGGAGACGTGTATCTGGTAGGAACAGCCAACGCAGGGAAATCCACACTGTTCAACAGTCTACTGGAGTCAGACTACTGCAAATCCAGGGCCTCAGATGTGATCCACAAAGCCACCATATCTCCATGGCCTGGTAAGAAAGAGCTCTGCCAAGCCTGGAACCCACAGTTTCACTATAAGATACATTACAAACACTCAAACAAGGCTGTGAACAAAAGGGTTCTTGTTGAATAGGTTGTTTTGTTAATTTCATGACCTTGTAATAGCACACAGACAGTCTGACTGTTGTAGAGCTTATTTATGGAACTCTCTTCTTTCTATGCTGCTGTAAATCAGAAGTCTTGAATAAGCTTTACTTTCCAACGACTTTTACAGTCACATTGATGGAAAGCTGGAACCAATAACACCTACAGTGAGTATACCAAACATTAGGATTACCTTCCTAATATTGAGTTGCACCCCAGAACAGCCTCAATTCGTCGCGGCATGGACTCCACAAAGTGTTGAAAGCATTCCACAAGGATGCTGGCCCATGTTGACTCCAATGCTTCCCACAGTTGTGTCAAGTTATCTGGATGTCCTTTGGGTGGTGGACCATTCTTGATACACACGGGAAACTGTTGAGCATGAAAAACCCAGTAGTGGTGCCGTTCTTGACACAAACCGGTGCGCCTTGCACCTACTACTGTACCCTATTCAAAGGCACTTAAATATTTTGTCTTGCCCATTCACCCTCTAAATGGCACACGTACACAATCCATGTCTCAATTGTCTTCTTTAACCTGTCTCCTCCCCTTCATCTACACTGACTGAAGTGGATTTAACAAGTGATCTCAATAATGCATCATAGCTTTCACCTGGATTCACCTGGTCAGTCTGTCATGGAAAGAGCAGGTGTTCCTAATGTTTTGTACACTCAGTATATGTCTGTTTGTATAGGCTCAAGTCTCTAAAATGTTGAAAACAAATTCTTAAATTGTCTTTGAAATTGAATATGATCCACAGGTACAACGCTGAACCTGCTGAAGTTTCCCATCATCAACCCCACCCCGTATCGCATGTTCAGGAGGTCCGAGAGGCTCCAGAGTGCCTCCAAGCAGACCGAGAGTGATCTTTCTCCACAGGAGCTCAAGAGACTAGAGCAGTTCAGCAAGCAGGGCTACCTAGTGGGTAAGAGATTGATGTTGGCTGTTGGGGACATGACTGGTGGTAACCCCACAGGATAGCCTAAATACCAAGGGTTGAAATGGACAACCCATACAGCTCAACCCTTGGCCTTCTGTGTTTTCAATGGCTTGCATTGTTGCTTTTAGATTTGTACTCTTAATGTAGGCTAATTATTAAAAATCTTATTTTGGTTTAGGTCGCATTGGGAGGACGTTCCGGACCAACGTAGAATCCAACAGAGGCCTGATAGAGTTTGATCCTGATAGTTTGGCCTATGGAGAGGATGTGATTGACAAGGAGGAGGAGAGAGACCGTACTCTTTCCAACCCTTCTACGGAAGTGGACTTGACGCTCAACGAACTGAAAGACGCCCACTGGCTCTATGACACCCCTGGCATCATGAAAGAGCATGACGTGAGCTACTTCCTATTCGCTCTTGGCTCCACTGTTACTCTACACCAGGCTAAAACTCTGCCCATATTCTATTGTTATTTCATAGATTGTAATGCAACTCATTACAATCCTGGAATCTGTCCAAAATAGCAACCTATTGGTCAAAGGTAGTGCACTATATAATCAAATCAAATCAAATCAAATTTTATTGGTCACATGCGCCGAATACAACAGGTGCAGACATTACAGTGAAATGCTTACTTACAGCCCTTAACCAACAGTGCATTTATTTTAAACAAAAAAAGTAAGAATAAAACAACAACAAAAAAAGTGTTGAGAAAAAAAGAGCAGAAGTAAAATAAAGTGACAGTAGGGAGGCTATATATACAGGGGGGTACTGTTGCAGAGTCAATGTGCGGGGGCACCGGCTAGTTGAGGTAGTTGAGGTAATATGTACATGTGGGTAGAGTTAAAGTGACTATGCATAAATACTTAACAGAGTAGCAGCAGCGTAAAAAGGATGGGGTGGGGGGGCAGTGCAAATAGTCCGGGTAGCCATGATTAGCTGTTCAGGAGTCTTATGGCTTGGGGGTAGAAGCTGTTGAGAAGTCTTTTGGACCTAGACTTGGCACTCCGGTACCGCTTGCCGTGCGGTAGCAGAGAGAACAGTCTATGACTAGGGTGGCTGGAGTCTTTGACAATTTTGAGGGCCTTCCTCTGACACCGCCTGGTATAGAGGTCCTGGATGGCAGGAAGCTTTGCCCCAGTGATGTAATGGGCCGTACGCACTACCCTCTGTAGTGCCTTGCGGTCAGAGGCCAAGCAGTTGCCATACCAGGCGGTGATGCAACCAGTCAGGATGCTCTCGATGGTGCAGCTGTAGAATTTTTTGAGGATCTGAGGACCCATGCCAAATCTTTTTAGTCTCCTGAGGGGGAATAGGCTTTGTCGTGCCCTCTTCACGACTGTCTTGGTGTGTTTGGACCATGATAGTTCGTTGGTGATGTGGACACCAAGGAACTTGAAGCTCTCAACCTGTTCCACTACAGCCCCGTCGATGAGAATGGGGGCGTGCTCAGTCCTCTTTTTTTTCCTGTAGTCCACAATCATCTCCTTTGTCTTGGTCACGTTGAGGGAGAGGTTGTTGCCCTGGCACCACACGGCCAGATCTCTGACCTCCTCCCTATAGGCTGTCTCATCGTTGTCGGTGATCAGGCCTACCACTGTTGTGTCGTCGGCAAACTTAATGATGGTGTTGGAGTCGTGCCTGGCCATGCAGTCATGGGTGAACAGAGAGTACAGGAGGGGACTGAGCACGCACCCCTGAGGGGCCCCCGTGTTGAGGATCAGTGTGGCAGATGTGTTGTTACCTACCCTTACCACCTGGGGGCGGCCCGTCAGGAAGTCCAGGATCCAGTTGCAGAGGGAGGTGTTTAGTCCCAGGATCCTCCAGGGAATAGGGTGCCATTTCAGACACACCCCTGCATCCTCCTAATTGAATCGGCATGGATGCGTGATGTAACTGTTTACCAGCACTAGGAGAGCACACTTGAGACTAATTAATACCCTTTGACTAAGTTTCCCTTCTGATGCAAGAGGGTTGGCAGATAAAAATAGTTCCTTAGCTTATCCCCTGGGGAGAAGGAGTCCCTTGTTATTCCTCTCCTATAACTACATGACGTTTGGAAGTATCATTTACACAAGTGGGATGCCACGATACATTTACGCACAGTGCAATAGAACAGACTAATGCATCAACCATCTTGCGTGTCACTGCAGTAGATTCATGATTATTTTATTGTACCACTCTCATAAAGGTTTTCTTACAAGACAAGCACCAACTAGTGTTGAACAGAACAATGCCATCCATTCAGCTCACCCCCAACCCCCACTCTCTCTCCGCTCTCTCATGCTTGTTAGGTCCTCAATCTGTTGACAGAGCAGGAGGTCAAGTTGGTGGTGCCCACACAAGCCATCGTACCCAGGACGTTTGTGTTGAAACCTGGAATGTCGCTATTCCTGGGAGCTCTAGGACGAATTGATTACCTTCAGGTGAATGCCTTCTTTCATTATTGCTTATGAGATCTCACCATGCTAAACTGTGACATCAAAACAGTGGCGCACACTTTTGTCTTTGTCTTTATGAGACATATTATTCATTTCCCAGGGCGAGAAGTCCTGCTGGTTTTCAGTCATTGCTTCCAACCGGGTCCCGATTCACATCACCAGTCTGGACAAGGCTGATAGCATTTATCAGAAGCATGCTGGTCAAATCCTGCTGGGGGTAAGTTGATGCTGCTTACTCTACCCAGTTAAGGACGTAAAATCTCTTTCTCAAATGGTACTACAAACATGATTACAAATAATGTTATCAACATGTAAGAACTCGCTGTGAATAGGTACCAATGGGTGGAGAAGAACGCATGAAGGAATTCCCCCCTTTTATCTCCCAAGAGTTTGAGCTGAAGGGACAGGGTTATCACAAAGCCAGTGCTGATATCAAGATGTCCTCTGCAGGTAATACACACATCATTACAAATTGATCAACCAGCCCACCCAGACATTTCAGGGTTGGTGTTTTTCAAAAAAAAGCCTGGTGCTACTGATTAATTTATTATATCCTTAGGATGGGTGGCAGTGACAGGAGTCGAGGGGAACAGTCTCCTGCTGCGTGCCCACGCTCCAGAGGGTGCAGGGCTCTCCCTGAGGAGTCCACCTCTACTCCCCAACATCGTTAACCTGAAGGGAGAGCGCATCAAGAAGTCTGTTGCTTATAAGACCAGGAAACCGCAGGCCCTGGTGGACACCAGCCTGTCCTACAAAGGAGCAAAGAGGCTCAAGGTGAAGAAGGAAAAATGAAGTGCATACCAACATCTCTATGGGGCAACGAGGGTTTTCATGGCAGAGGCTTTTTGTACTGGATATTTAATTGTGATGATACAGCACTTTCAGTTATGGATTCTTTTCAGCTCTGGGTTTTGTAAAATTGTCTGTAAATGTAACGATTATAAATACCCTACATACAAACAGCTGTCTTTGTTTATCGATGTGTAGACTTGTGCTTCAGTTTACATTGCTTTCTTTCCATTTAGACAGCAGGAAGGGAACCCTTTAGTGAACCCAATTTTTTTTTTTAAAGTATTTTGAAATGTAATATACTTTTAAACGTATCAGTAACTGCAGACAATGTAAGAAATGGAAAGGAATCACGCACCAACAATACCTCTCGATTCTAGGCTAACTTTTATTTAGAAGTGTAGAGCAGAAAATGGTACAGGATGTTGGTTTTAAACTGCACAAAAAGGTTTTAAACAGCCAATTGTTTTCACAAAGTCTTGGGGACAATGGCCAATAACTCCCCACTTTGGTGAAGGCATTAGAAGTTTGTTGGCAATTATTGAATTGAAAAAAAAAAAAAAGCGTACATTTCTTCACTAACTGCAAACAGCAAATGACGGGTATAGGCTAAAACTTCAATTAATAGCCAGGGCGTTATTTTTTTTTAAATCACTGAACACAACCGCCACTTATTAGAGCCAGGTCCTCTGTAGCTCAATTGGTAGAGCATGGCGCTTGTAACGCCAGGGTAGTGGGTTCGATCCCCGGGACCACCCATACGTAAAAATATATGCGCACATGACTGTAAGTCGCTTTGGATAAAAGCGTCTGCTATATGGCATATTATTATTGTTATTATTATTCTATTTCCCTAATGCACACAGCTTTTGCTCAATAAAATGTTGAAAAGACAACAACACTGTTTATTGTGACCAGTATAAACATAATAACAAATCCATTGCAGATCAGACTTCCAAAGACTAGGCTGCCTATCATACACCCCTGATTTTGTGCTTCAGCACCATGAATTTGATAGTGTTTTATTTTTGGTGGCACCATGGCTAGCAACGATGACAGAATTCAAAAATATGTTTAAATGCACATGACTGGGAATATCAGAGCTGTGTCCATGGTAACCTCGTAAATATTAAAAGGGACAGGTGGCTATTTGAGACTGCGTTTAATAGAAGTTTTACGGTACATATGATTACACAATATGTGAATGCAAAATTGTTAAAGAATGAACAACTTTTCCTATCGACTAAAAAGCACAATACAGGAAGTGAACAAAGAAAATAGATAATTTACAAAGAGATAAGAGGTGTACATTTACAGTGATACAGAATCTAACCGTCTAGATAAGAGTGCATCGGCTAAATTCGACCAGTTTTCCAAGGAACCCTGATACTATTCTATGCCTTCCAATAGTCATGAAACTCAAAACATAAGTCTTTATATTTCTATACTTTCTCACTTTGGCATCATACCCAAAATACAATATTGCACTGAATTCACTAAAAGAGTACACATGGCATTTTTATTAGCTCAGTCTACCAATCACCTCAATAGAACAGAAAACTAGATGCATATGAAAGAAGTATATCACTGATGGCCCAAACAGGCTAAGCTTTGGAGGCACAATTCTGTACAACAGATGAGTGGTGTGATAAAAACTGCAGAAATAAAGTTGATGGGTTTGATCTGCAGAGTAATTAAAGAGTTACAACTAAACCTCAAGGAATGGTTCTAAAGATAGACATGATGTAACAACAATATAATTGAAATCCAACCTCTTAGTGTAAGAAAATGTGACTCAATTATCAAACCTACACTGTTAATATGCTAAAAACATCCAAACAAAACCATAAAATAATGATTGTCGAAGGCACTTAAAAGTAATTTTAAAAAATGTAGATCTACCGTTATCTTTACAGGATCAACTGTAAAAAATATATATACAAATCTTTGGACATTTTCTGAAATCAAACACAAAACTGATAATGGCAAAGTTTCAGATGTGCGCACAAACATCCATTTCACAACTTGTTTTCAATGTTAGCGGTCCATTTTCTATCAGTGATAGCAACATAGTATCCTTTTCATCCTGATCTTATGTTCTATAGGCCTTCAAATGTCAAGGGCCAGTAACACTAGGAACACCCTACCTCCCACATTACAGTTGTGCATTTGTTAATGAGTAGTACGACTTTTGTCTTTGTATGACTAAATGTACTTGGATATACAAAAAGTGACAACATAATTCAAACATTAACGCAAGAAACAATTCTATACATCCTTCGCCACGATTGTGCCGGATGAACCCAAAGAAACCTCGCCCCATTTCATATTTCAGCAATTTGACTGTAAGAGTCATGAGTCATGGCAATTTACACCTATAACGTTTTTGTAATGAAGAGATTATGGTTAGTCCATTGTACAGATTGATAATAGATGTATACAATGTTTTTTTAAATCTATTGATGTTATCAATAAAATAAAGAAATCAAAGTAGTTGTCAAGTGCTCCCTAAATGGTGGACTTTGAACATGCAGCCCTCTTCCTCATTTAGGAGACAGGCCGCTTCACTAGAGTGGATTTGCACAATCGGAGTGAGAGCGCCATTATTCTCTGGGTTATTTGGCATGGACCACCTGGGTCCTTCTAATCTCGTCTCCCTGGGGTTTCTTTGGTTCTTCATTGAAAAAGTGTAACACTTCCTTTCATAATTTATTTACAATTGTTGTTCTTCATCAGGGCTGATGGATTTTTAAAAAAGGGTACAACTCATCTCTTGGTGGGTTCTTCTATAGAAAACTCAACCGGTTTGTGAACCACAGGGCAAGGTGTAGCGATTTCTTCAATATCAACCACTATGCAAAATGCAGGTACCTGCCAAAATAAAGGAAACACTTGAGTAAATGAGGGATACAAAGTATATTGAAAGCAGGTGCTTCCACACAGGTGTGATTTCTGCGTTACTTAAGCAATTCACATGCCATCATGTTTATGGTCATGTATAAAAATGCCCAGTTGCACATTATTTTGGCTACCATGGCAAGAAGAAGAGATCTCAGTGACTTTGAAAGAGGGGTCTCAAAAGGAGCATAGGGGGTTTAAGGTGTTTTTGTCTCTGTCACCAGATCTCAACCCAATTGAACACTTATGGGAGATTCTGGAGCGGCACCTGAGACAGCATTTTTCACCACCATCAAGAAAACACCAAATGATGGAATTTCTCGTGGAAGAATGGTGTCGCATCCCTCCAATAGAGTTCCAGGCACTTGTAGAAGGCGCATTGAAGCTGTTATGGCAGCTTGTGGTGGCCCAACGCCTTTATTTTGGCAGTTACCTGTATATACAACGCTATTACAGAATGGTTAGCTTTTAGTTAGTTGCATAACCATATGAGATTTACAAGCAAAAAAAATTATAGCCCATATTTTCTTTGATGGATGTCTCAGCCAAATGCCAAACCATGAACATTAGTTTTGGACCTCACATGGTATCAACTCACATATCCTCTATGATTTATGTTTGAAAACAAGAACTGTAGAATTAATAGTCAAACGGTCTGGGAACCAATATGTGAAAGCCCAGACACCAATAATCAAATTAACTAGTCTGCCTAAAGCTGGTATTACAAAGACTGTCAGATCGTTTTAGGAATACCATAGAATATTCAATGAATATTTGATACAGCAGTAACAGTGAGCACTAATGCAAGGTAACTGAATATGTACTGTTAATATGTTTACACAGACACAACTATACATATGTTTTATAACAGGGGGAAAGGGTCAAGCAAAATACACCGCTGGAATCAAAGCTCCCTGCTCTGCAGACATTCACTGGTCCGGCTTGGATGCATTGTCAAAGATAGTATACATTCACCAGGTGCCGATTCAGGTGCCGACGGAACTCCGCCTCCAAGGGGAAGGTACGGTCACAGAAGACACACATGTGACTCTTGAGTTCAGTTGGAGTCGGAATCTCTTCTGTGGGAGTTTCAGGGTCATTGGCCAGTTTACCGGCGGCAGCCGCCAGCCCGTTGAGCCCTGAATCGTCGCTGCCCTCCGAGGCGCTGTCACTGATCTCACTTCCTCCGTCATGGCTGTGGATGCCCTCGTCCTCCTCGGTTTCAGAAGGCTTTCCTCTTGGCCTAGGGAGCTCCAGGGAGGGTGTTGTTGGTGTTGATGGTTGTCCCTGTGCCAGTCTGAAATCAGGAGCGACGTCACTTTCTATGTGAGATGGGGACTCGTCGGTGCTGCTGAAGCCTTCAGGAGTTTCCTCTGCTTTCTCGGCGACCTTAGCCTGCTCAGCTCGTGGGGTTGTGTCCTTGGTTGGGGATACATTTTGCAGTTCAAGGTTGTTTTCTCCATTATTGGGCCGTTCTTCAGCCGGGCTCTGCCCTGTAGATGTATCCAGAGCGGGGACAGTCTCCTCCTGGTCAGATTCCTGCTGCTCTTCCTGTACAACTGTTGGCTGAAGCTCTGTGGCAGGACACATGTTGCTTTCAGGGGGGCTAATGGGGTTTTCAATGATGGAAAACTCCTTGTTCTCACTGGAAGCCTCAGTCTCTCCAGGGCTTGCTTCTTTCTTGTTGCTCTTTTCGGTCTCTTTCAGCTTTTTCACTACAGGCAAGTACATAATCTGGTTTGCTGGGTCCTTCTGCTCGGACGCTGGGCAATACTCAGTAGTTTTGCTTCGGGGGGTACTGGCTTTTGACTGTGACTTGTCAGCAGGCTTGATTTTTAACCGTTTGGCCTTAATGTTGGTGCAGGACTCAGGAGATTCCTTCATTGATAAGTCCAAGGCCTCTGTAGCTTTTCTCTTCACTGGCTTCGTCTTGCTCTTATATCCTTGTTTTTGCACTGGTGCTCCCTGACTTTGAGGAGCTTTTTGAACAGTCTTTTCAACCACTTTCTCAATTTTTTTAGAAGTTGTATTCTGAGATTTTATTGCGTTTTTGTTCTCTTTTCCTTCTTTCTCATTCTTCAGTTTCTCCAGCTGCTCTTTTTTCTCCCTCTCCAGCCTCTTGTTATCCTCCTTCACCTTCTCCATATTCTCCCTCTCCAGCCTCTTGTTATCCTCCTTCACCTTCTCCATATTCTTCCTCTCCAGCCTCTTGTTATCCTCCTTCACCTTCTCCATATTCTCCCTCTCCAGCCTCTTGTTATCCTCCTTCACCTTCTCCATATTCTCCCTCTCCAGCCTCTTGTTATCCTCCTTCACCTTCTCCATATTCTTCCTCTCCAGCCTCTTGTTATCCTCCTTCACCTTCTCCATATTCTCCCTCTCCAGCCTCTTGTTATCCTCCTTCACCTTCTCCATATTCTTCCTCTCCAGCCTCTTGTTATCCTCCTTCACCTTCTCCATTTTCTCCCTCTCCAGCCTCTTGTTATCCTCCTTCACCTTCTCCATATTCTCCCTCTCCAGCGTCTCTTTCTCTAACCTGTCCTTGACTGATTTCGCTTTCTCAACATTGTCCTCTTCCTTTTGAACTTTTTCCACGGTTTCCTTTATTTCGGACTTATCCTGAACACTTGTTTTCCCTGTCATCTGTTTTTTGGGACTTCTCTTAACTTTATTACCTGCTATTTCAACCGCAGCTGCTGTCTCCTTCCCGCTCTCCTTCAGGGTAACATTCTGCTTTGTATTCTCACTGCCCATCTCTGTACTCTTGCGTTTCAGTGTTACCTTTTTCTCTGCCTTCTCCTTTGCCTTTTTAGGTGTCTCTTTGACAGGGGAGACGTCACATTTCTTGGGGGTCTTGTCCGTTGCCATGCTTTCTACTGCTTGAACACGGCTAGGTTTGCTGCTCTTCTTGGTCTCTTTGACAGGAGAGTTGTCACATTTCTTGGGGGTCTTGTCCATTGATACACTTTCTGCAGCTTGTACAGGGCTAGGCATGCTTCTCTTGGTCGAGAGATTGATAGGGCTTGATTGTTTATCAGCTCCAGAGATCTCTGGTCCCTCCTCGGCATCATCATCAATTGCTGACAGCTCAAACTTTGCTATTCCATTCACCATGGTGTACTCATCAGTGAATTCATCAGAATCTGGTTTCTTGACACGCAGCTTGACCTTTGACACATCCATTGCGATCTGTGGGCAGCCAGGGTGTCTAGACTTGATGTGATATTGTAGGTTACACTTCTTGGAAGCGGCATACTTGCAGACAGGGCAAAGGAACTGACGCGGGTTGAGGTGGAGCTCCACATGCTTTTTGTAGTTGCTGCGGTCAGCCGTCTTGTATGGGCAGTGGGGGCAGCACAGGGGCTTGGGTCCATTGTGAACCTGTCTGGAATGGCGTGTCACCTCATGCTGATTGGCAGCCAGGTAGTTGCAGCGGTCACATTTGAAAGGCCTTTCACCTGCCAAGAAAAGCAATGTGGAAAATGGTCAGTTTAGAGACATTTTAACTGCTGTTAACATCAATGGGAACACTGGCACACATTTCATGCAGGGAAGACGGACCACAATACGGAGACAAGCAACAATTACAGGTCGAACACTTAGCATCTCACAGCACGTATCGCAAACCACTTTACCGTTCTTATCCAAAACCATCTGCTCCAGCGAATGCAACAAAGGAGAAAAAGTTGACTATGAGAGGAAACCAAAACAGAGACCTATATCTATGCACAATCAATCATATTTGTCTAATTACTGTCTCATACTAGAAAGATGTCATGTAGCCTGTGTTAGACACTCACCTGAGTGTGTTCTCATATGCCTGGTAAGATGGGTCTTCTGGGAGCTTGAGTACTCACAGTATGGACATCGAAAGGGACGCTCCCCTAGAATAGCAAAAACAGAGTTAGCTATACTGTTAAAAAAAACTCATACTTTCACCATTAAGTGCATACTTGGAGTGAAAAGGTTATATTTGACATACCTGTGTGAGTGCGGATATGCTGCACATAGTTGTTCTTACGGTCCGAGAAATAGCAGCACTGGTTGCAGGTGAAGAGCTTACTGGGGAAATGGTTCCTGAGGTGCTTTTTCCAGTGGTACTGGCTGACGGTGGTATATGTGCAGATGGTGCATTTGTAGACCCTCTGGTCGTCGCCCTCCTTCTCGTGGTGCTTGAGGTGAGCCATGTAATGGTCGTAGCGGTTGGTGTTGTAGCCGCAGCGCTCACAGCGGATCAGCCCTTTGTTGTTGGCCCCGCCATCGCCGCTCTCCGCCTCTTGATCTGGTCCCGCCAACGTCTCTTTTGCCCGTGCCTTGTCCCCCACCATGCGTTTCACCACGATCATCCTATTGGCGCTGTGGATTTTGATGTGGGTTACAAACTCCTCCTCGCACTGGGCCTGGTAGTTGCAGGGTTTACAGAAGAAGGGTTTCTTCTTCTTAGCTGACTCCATGATCATGCCCAGAGATGTAGAAGGGGTGGAAGGGCTAGAAGGGCGCTGGTCAGAGGGTTTGGACAGGTCAATCCCTTCTTCCTCCACGTCAATCTCCTCAACCTGGGTAAGGGCAGCCCGTGGAGACTCTGGGTAGTCTACAATACACATCTCTCTCTCATGGCTATCGTAACTGTATCTGATGATGTTCTCGTCTTCACTATCGGAGTAGCTGCCGACGGTTTGAAGCTCCATCATCTCCTTCCCTTCTGCTTGGTTTTCACAGGCTACGTTGGCGAGCATGACCAGCTGCGGGGCCGGCAGCTCGTTGTGTGGAAGCTCAGCCAACCCCTGGGCATCCTCCACCATGGGCATGCCAACTGAGGTGGAGAACATGACCAATCCCATTGGATACACCGTCTGAGAAGCCATGCTGGGGGGGAGGAGAGCAGAACCAGAGGTCATAATATAATAATGTAATATAATATGCTATTTAGCAGACGCTTTTATCCAAAGCGACTTACAGTCATGCGTGCATACATTTTTGTGTATGGGTGGTCCCGGGGATCGAACCCACTACCTTGGCGTTACAAGCGCCATGCTCTACCAGCTGAGCTACAGAGGACCACAAGCAACTTAAATTAAAATATGTTTTCATTTTCAGAACTACAAAGTTAGTAGTAGTAGTAGTAGTAGTCAAAGAGAGTTTGAGTTTTAACAGGCCTTCAAAAGACCAGACAACTCAAGTTACATACACTTGGTCCCAACTCATTCAAATTATATGGCTTGCAAGTTGTCCAAGCAACTACCAACCATGTCACTGTTCCTTCTCTGAATCAGTTATTTGGTATTTATATCATGGTCGGAGAGCGCAGGATGTTTTTATGATAATCCAGGAATGGTGCATCCAAGAAAGAAATCACAACTGTCATCAATACAAGTGTCAAACTAGATAAGGAAAGTATGCTAAACCAACACAATTTCAGTACACTTTCATCACTTCATTGATTCCTTATGTCTTCATGCGGTCTGCTGTGCATATCAATGCGATGTACCAGTATGTGACTATATAACAGATGAAAATGTAGTATGTATTCTTCATTCGTAAGAAAGGATATTTATCCAGACTATTTCATACTTAAAATGCAATAAAGTAAAAGTTATTTTCCATAAATAAATATACAAATTTAACACAAAACTACCAAGAATATCCCACCACTTAAAAATGTATGTTTCATAACTTCATTGTGGGCATACTTCATGTATTTTTATTTAACACGGCGCTTTGGGAAAATCCATAGACTCCTAGGCCTGTGTTTGCGTGCACAGAAATGTGTGTTCGGCCATTTTGAAACAGCACCACCAACTTGGTCGACAGCGCCCAACAACTACAGTAGCCTGTCCTACATTCTAACTAGTATGAAGAGAAAATAAGAAGTGGAAATAGAAAAATACAATTGTGCACTGGGTTGTATGATCTCCATGCAAAACAAAATATATAGACCTAAATGGTAATAATTACTAAATACTTCAACAAATCGAAATAATACGTGTTTACATATCTTCACTTTCTAAGCGCAAAACTGTGTAGAGTATACATACTTTGTAACATGCTGGTATCAAAATAATCAAAAAATAATCAAAAAAGAATACAATATGACTAAAAATACAATTTCTGAGTTATAGCCTATGCACTAGACCTAGAACTAGACCTCAACAATAAAAGTGGAAAGTTGCAGTATTGGTTAGGGTATGGAGAAGAATAATATTATTTCATATCGTTAACAAATGGATAGATTGTAGCTAAAAACAAACTTTTACCAACAATAGTATTCCACATATCGCTATGTAAGCTTGCTACGACAGAGGCAGAGAATGTCGCTGTCCAGCAAGGCCCTCAAAACGACTCGGAAAACTAGTTTTGCGGAAACGCAAACTCCGAACAAAACAAAGTTAACTTGTAGAATCTTTAACAATTTAGAAATAATGTTTATGTTATTAGTTTTATTTAAATATATATATATCATAAATAAAGTTAGGCGTGTAAACACTTCGAAAGTTTAGAACAGCGTGTGTTAGCCATGGTCCTGATCTCCGTGCTGAAATCAGCCCTGGACAGCGCCTCTCCCTTTCAGCAACCCCCACACTGCCTCCATTTTCAAAACTGTTCGTCAAAGTTAGTTTGTTTCACAAATTCAAAACAATAGACAATATGTTAATTAATTAGTTACATACAACTTACCGTATATATGTATCCACTCCTTGTCGGTATTCGGTCAATATTATCGAAGTACTAGCACACAAACTGTTCAAGGAAGAAGTTTCCGCACATTCCTACACATCACCCTGGCTCCGTCTGTTCGCAGGGAAGGCTGGCTGACGTCAGCTCAAACACGCTTGGTGTTTCTTGGTGCTTTCACGACACCTGGGAACTTCGGGAAAACACGAGGTCAAATCATGATTTCAGTGATTTTCAGGTCGGAAAGTCGGAGCTCTAGAAAGAGGCCGGAGTCCCTTACTTGGAATTCCGAGTTGGATGACCGTTCAAAATAATTTTTCCCAATCGGAGCTCGTTTTTTTCCTAGTTCCCTGTTGTCTTGAACGTACTGAAGTCGCAAGTCGGAGATTTCCGAGTTCCCAGTTGTTTTGAACAAGGCATCCGCCCAGGGGTCTTCGTTCCAAATCACAATGTCCAATTCGTCAAACGAAGCAGTCTTGTTGTATGTTCTTCTAATAAATATGTTTATTATGTGAGTTATTTTCATTTTGAAAAGTTTTTGGCAAAAAATGTATTCCTCTTATGAAAAAATAGTATTATTACACTGGGGGACTATTTGTACAGTGTATACTGCTATATGAATCCCAATAATACAAACATGTAACATTATAATTAAATATAAAGAACATTTAACAAGTCAAAGTACAAGGGTCTCATGATTTAATTCACCATACCTGGGTTGGCTGGCCTGGTTATTTCCCCAAAACAGTCCTGAAACATTGTTTACATTATGTGTAATATATACATACAGAATGTGTAGTTATTTGATCAGTGTCTTGCCAAGAAAAAAGTAAGGATCTTAATTTTCATATTTCAGTGTTTTATTACCAGGTATACTGGGGATAGCCCACACTGACCATGTGGAAAGAGCTGTTGCATAAATCTGGCAATGCAGGTTTGATTGAATTCTTTCCATACCAATATGATATAATACCTGGATGGGATGACCCATCCTTCTGTGTGACCTCTGTATTGGGGAATGTGTCAGAGGATCTACCAAGCTAAATGCAAAAGAAAAAGTATAACATGAGAACAACCCACACAGACTGCATTCTCAAGTCCACAGTGTACTGCTGCACAAAAACTAACTTTGGTCTATTGGAGCCAAAGCCTTTTGGACCATGCCGGGAAGCAGGCTCTAGTCTAGGCATACACATGCCCTCACTTTTGAAATTGGGTCTTTGCAACTGTATAGTCATGGGTCTGTTGAAAATAGAGACATCTTTTTGTCTTGATGAAAGTGTTATTAGCAACTCAAGGCCTCCAGGTCATGAATTACACCAGAAGCATATGTAGTTGCCTTGGGGGAGTGAGCCTGTAAAAATAAATTTATTGACACAAACCATTTGGTCATGAATGAATTATTCATTCATCAGATAAAAAGCACAAATGTTTTCTAACACAAAATTCAAGAGAAATGTAATTATCATGTACATAATTTATCACAAACCAATGGACAGATTTTTGGATTGTCACGATCGTCGAAGGAGGACCAAGGCGCAGCGTTGAATGCGAACATATTTTATTGATTAGACTGATAACACGAACAAAACGATGACGTGACGTCCTTGGTTACAAACACACCAACACGGAACAAGATCCCACAACCACTGTGGGAAAACAGGCTGTCTAAATATGGTTCCCAATCAGAGACAACCAGCAACAGCTGACACTCGTTGCCTCTGATTGAGAACCATTCAGGCCAACATAGAAATACAAACAACTAGAAACGAAAAACAAATGAAAACTCACACCCTGGCTCAACATACTAGAGTCCCCAGAGCCAGGGCGTGACAGTACCCCCCCCCCAAAAGCGCGGACTCCGGCCGCGCCAACCAAACACCACAGGGGAGGGACCGGGTGGGCACTCCGCCTTGGCGGCGGATCCGGCTCCGGGCCTGATCCCCACTCCCTCTCCAACCCCCCAAAGTACCCCTGGTCCGGTCTGGCCCCGCTGGCCGGAGCTGGCCTGCCCACTGGTGGATTGCTCTAGCTCCGGCGTGAAGCAGCTGACCGGTGCCGAACCAGGCACCGGTGGAACAGGCACGGGCCGTGCCGGACTGACGACGCACACCACTGGCCTGGTGTGGGGAGCAGGAACGGGCCGGACCGGGCTGGCGACGCTCACCATAGGCTTGATGCGGGGAGCAGGAGCGGGCCGGACCGGGCTGGCGACGCGCACCATTGGCTTGGTGCGGGGAGCAGGAGCGGGCCGGACCGGACTGGCGACGCGCACCATTGGCTTGGTGCGGGGAGCAGGAGCGGGCCGGACCGGACTGGCGACGCGCACCATTGGCCTGGTGCGGGGAGCAGGCACGGGCCGTGCCGGACTGACGACGCACACCACTGGCCTGGTGTGGGGAGCAGGAACGGGCCGGACCGGGCTGGCGACGCTCACCATAGGCTTGATGCGGGGAGCAGGAGCGGGCCGGACCGGGCTGGCGACGCGCACCATTGGCTTGGTGCGGGGAGCAGGAGCGGGCCGGACCGGACTGGCGACGCGCACCATTGGCTTGGTGCGGGGAGCAGGAGCGGGCCGGACCGGACTGGCGACGCGCACCATTGGCCTGGTGCGGGGAGCAGGAACGGGCCGGGCCGGGCTGGCGACGCGCACCATAGGCTTGGTGCGGGGAGCAGGAACAGGCCGGGCCGGGCTGGCGACGCGCACCATTGGCTTGGTGCGGGGAGCAGGAACAGGCCGGGCCGGGCTGGCGACGCGCACCATTGGCTTGGTGCGGGGAGCAGGAACAGGCCGGACCGTACTGGGGACACACACCACTGGCCCTACGCAGGGATCAGGAACGGGCCGGACCGGACTGGTAACACACCCCAGTACCTCTCGCCGTGCCTCTACACTTTCCCTCTCCTCTGTGACCAGTGGCCCCCTTAACCTGGCGGCCTCCTCTGCAAACCCGCTGGACCGCTCCATCGCGGCCTCCTGCTGCCCCGTCGTGAGTCCCCCCTAAAAAATTTCTGGGCTTCTCTCCTACCCGTGGACCAGGTCTCCATATCTCTCGCCAGCCTTTCGCCCTTCTGCTTCCAAGTCAAGCCCCTCTCTTCCTCACACGGCTTGACCCAGTCGAGGAGGCGAAGGAGATCCGCTAGAGATCTCCCTGGCGATGGCTCCTGG